GCAACATAGAAAACACAGTCAAATACACTTCAAGTCTAGTAATAAAGCTGAGAACACCAAATAATATAGATAATAGCAAAATAACTTTAGAATTTCACTGTAAGCACAGAACTCTGCTTCTCACATTTATTACATATGGGAAATGCTCTCAGCCCACAGAACCCAAGATACAGGTGTAACCTCACACGCACTTGTAGGTCAATCCTCAAGCAGCAGCTTGGCACTTGGAATCACTGATGTATTTGGCTTCCTCAGATATCTTATTAAGACTAAATCCTTTGGTGGTAAACAGAACTGAGAGGATGTGAAGTTTTATTTCTTTGTTTTTTAAAGTTCCTCATGTATTCTGTATTTAGCTTGAGAAGACTGAGGGATTCCTGTCTGTTTTGCTGAGCTAATTTTTTTGCTTGGTTTTAATTTCTTTGCTTACATACTTGTAGCACTTCGTATTTCTACTATTTGTGAGCTTCATATACAAAACAAATTTTTTTAACTTACTGTAAGGAAATAATTGTTATTGACTGCCCCATTTTCACTGGCAAATGAAACAATGTAGAAGATTAAATTTAGGAATTAAAGTAAGTGCATATTAACAAGGGATATATCCAAAAAAATTAGAATGTGTATCAGTCTTCAAATACTCCTCATGTTTCTTATTCTGTCAAACACATGCAAAAGTCTGTCCCTGAAATCACTTTCCTGAGATGACTATGTCAGTGTGCTTTATTGATGAGGCTGTTGCTGACTCTGGTTCTACAATCACTTTCTTTTGGTTATCTGCACCCAAACAAGACTTCATTGACTGGGATGGAAGAAGGAAAATTTGTTACAGACTGCAACACTAAATGACTATGGGGAGCGAACACGCTGAAAGCTTACATTAGGGAAAAACACAATACTCCAACCGAAATTGGTTAATCACTACAGAAAGAAATAATTGTCTCTCACCTGGTATTTTCTTGTAGAAAGGGCACTGTTTTTTTCTTGCTCCTTCACCTGTAGCAGGTAATTCTCTAATTTTTTTTCTCCACTTTCTGCAGCCACCAGAAGTTACATCTACCAGCTCTCCATTCTTATTTGAACTTTCTTCAGCTCCTTCTACGTCCTCCACAGATCCCTCAGCTTTCCTTTTTTGCTGTCTGGGCCTCTTTCCATTGGGAGTTCCTGAACTTGGTGTCTGCTTTTCCTCACTCAAACACACCTCTCTCTTACTTTCCTCTTTTACTTTGGGTTTTAACCCAAAGAAAACACCAATGTCCATTTGTTTGAGTTCTTTGGCAGAACTGGATTTGGCATTCGCACTTGCTAAAGGATGAGATGACACTGTTTTAGAGCCGGAGCTGGGAAAGCATGCATCAGCTGCGTTAAGGTTTTCTTCTTTCTTCACTACCGACTGTGAACTCTCCTGGTGAGCAGCTTTTTCAATTGCACTAGCAGCCATTTTACCTGGATCGGTTAAACCGTTATTTGGGTCCCTCCTAACCTTACTTTTTTGTGACAGAGGAGAGCCAGCACCTTCCCTGACTGCCACCAGTGGCGTACCTGTAAGACCCACACACACAGAATCCAAAGCAGGAGCACCACTACCTTTCAGCTCTGCGTTACCTGCATCAGCAGCTGAGGAAATCAATCCTGGCTGTTGAACCTCCTCCTCAAATAATTCACAGCTAAAAGGAAAAGAGGAGTCTGTCACTAGGGCCTCTTGATGATGCTGATTACCTACACATGCTGAATTACAGAAGTTACTGCTCACATGACTCTGAAAAGCAGCTATTCCACTATAATGTTGACAGTTCCATCTATTTACTTCCTCACAGTGTTGGTTTTTTAATACAAAATTTCCCTGTTCAATATGCTTGTACTGATGCTTCTGCTGTAAAAGAAGTCCATTGCATTTTTTGATCTCCACAGAATCAGATTCTATATCTTCAAAGTTCTGGCCTTTGAATAATTCGTTTTGCGATATTTTTGCTTTTTTCTCCTCTTCATCAGTTTCCTCTTCACTTTCCTCACAAGTACTCAGTGGAGAGTAAGAAATTTCACAGTCACTGAAGTCCACTTTTGACTGTAGTAGACTTGGCTGATTTGTATCTTTTTGACTACTCAGATCCTCTCCTTTAACACTTTCTTGAGAGGACGCAAAGTCATAAAATTCAAATTTACAACTATTATCTGTGGTTTGTGTAAACTGAAACGTTTGTTGAGAGTTTTGAGCATGTGCAAAAGAGGAAGTACTTTCACTGGTTATATTTAGAGTCTTCTTTTGTGGTGAGCTCTGTACCATTGATGCACACTCATATTTTGGGATGTTTTTTACGTTATTGGATTGTTTCTCATTCTGTGAAATTTCTTCTGAATGACTTGGGAAACAACCAGACTTTGCAGCAGTAGAGCATGTGGACCTCCCCTCCAAAGCGTGTGCTGAAGAGCTTACCAGATATTCTCCCGCCCTGCTTGCTGCAAGTAGGAAATGACTATAGCGCTTGTAGTGGGATGGAATGGTAGAAGTGCAGAGTAAGCCATCAGGACACTCTATGAAAACAGTTTAAAGAGAAGTTCTGTTAATATGTTTGCGTATATAATTGGCATAATCATTAAAATAAAAAACACATGGCATACAACTTAAAAGTTCTTTCTTATAAATACAGCTATTGGAGGAGAGAAGCCACAAGTACAAAGTAATTTTCAAGCTGCCAGATCTCGTTCCAGAGACAAGGCCAGAACGAGAATGTTTCCAAACTAAAACCAAAAGGCTGACACTAACACAGCACTAACCCACTAACCTTGAATTCATTCACCCTTCCAACAAGAGCATGGCACCTTGTTTCAGTACTGTGCTAACAGTAGTTACATGGCTTCTGGTTTCGAAGTGTGTCATGCACAGGTAATGATCTCAGAGTAACAGCACCAGAAATAGGCCAAGATATGTTTCAAAACAAACCAAGCCTAGGTTCTGAATCAACCTGAAACTGCATTTAAAATGGTCTGTTAGGTTATATGTTAAATTTGAAAATTGTCATGTATTTACTTATGTCCTAAAAGTATTCAGGATCCATTTGCCAGCAAAAAAAACCGCGGCTGTTCCCTATGCAATTTTTGTTGAGTTTGGTAGCCTAACGTTTAAGAATTTAAAGACAGATGCAAATCAATCAGTATGTTTCATCTGTTAATTATGGGAGGAAGAGGTGGAAATCAGGTGTTAACACATCTGCATCAAGTTAAAACCACTGCCAACATCAGGAATAAGGGCTCAGATTTCACTGTTCTGAAGAAACTTCAAGGAAAGTAAAAAAGATGTGAAAAGGTAAGTTGCAGTTATTTATAAACACTGTATTTCCTCACATGGAACTAGTCATGGGAATGGTTCCATCTCTATTCCTCTTGAACAGAACTGTGAACCAGTGTTATATTGTAATACAGGAATATCCATGTATAATTCTGGATAAAATTTCTAAAGCATACTTGACCCAGGGCTAATGTTTCAAGCAAATTAACCTAATAGACTTATTTCTGGTTACAGCTGTCCTCAGAGAACCACATAAATCACATGTTATTGTTGATACCCATACCAATATGGATAACATATTGGATAACAACATTATACTTCGGGAAATTCAGTGTTACAAGTAGAGAAGTCTCAGCTGAAGGAGGTTTTTGGTGAACACTGACTGAATGATTGAAAGGAATTCCAATATTTTAAGCTGGTAAATATTCACCTTCGATTTCTTCAAGCCAGTGAAAAGTGGGATTTGCTAAACCATCATGAATCTCTATCACAAATTTTTGAGATTAGGTTCTGAAATTTTCGTATCAGATTTCCACGTTCTTCACAAAGAGCTGAAAATTTGATAAGAAAATGTCAATAGATGATCAGCAACAACTTTCTGAAAATCATACCAGCTACCATCTCGTTTTTTGAACCACATATGAAAACTGAAGCTTTCACACTGCTTCCTGAAGAGCTTTTCTCTTACCCTACTCCTACCTTTTTCAGTGGATCCGGGGGTGTCCAAACACTCGGCAACGTGCCACCGAGGCGTCTGGACTCGCAGCAAGGCGAAGGGCATCTGGCAGCTGGGACAGTGCCCGTCGTGCGCCGGCCTTGTGCTCTGTGGGCTGCGCTCTGCCTGGCTGCCTGTGCTCTCCTGGGAGAGCACACTGCTGTCATCTTTACTCGCCTCTGGATCCTCGTTTGGCTGTGATGTTGGCTCGCTTTCCTGATGATCACCATTTTTCCCCACCGATTTTCTCTTATTTCCATTTCTCCTTTTCAGCCTGCCCCTGCCCTCGGTTACTTTCCGCAGAGGAGCCGAGGGCCTCTCCGAAGCGCTCTGCTGCTTGCGCTTCCTGACGGACCTGTACTCCCAAATGTCCTCCTCCAGCAGAGCCTCCTCAGACATAGCCCCGCACAAACCCCCCTCCCTGCCCTCCTGAGGGGACACCCCACAAACCCAGCCCGCCTTCCCCTAAGGCGCCCTCTCTCCCCTCCGCCCGGCAGCCAAGCGCCCCGATTCCATCTTAACGACCCCAACCGGGCCCCAAAGCCAGCAGCAGCCCGTGAGGGGACATCAGCACGGTGGCCCCTCAGCCCCTCAGGATTCAGCCACCGCCTCCCTCTCTCCCTTCAGCCCCGGCCGCCGCCATTGCCCCTCAGCGGCCCCGGCCACCGAGGCTTTCCACGGCAGTTTCGTCACCGTTCCCGCAGCATCCCCCTCCCCCACAAAAAAATCCCACCGCCCTAACTGTCTGATTTGCGCCGCTTTTCACATCTGTTAATCTATTTTATTTTATTATTTAAAAAAGGAGAAAGGCGGGAAAATAAAAGGCTGTGTGGAATCTGCCGAGCCGGCGTTGGCGCGCTGGGAGCTTCTCCTGACGAATATGCTCCTCCGGATAACAGAAGCCCTGTAAAAAATCGGGGAGGAATTACCAGCTCCCCCCTTTAACACAGCCGAGTTTGCGGCGTGCTCGCGCGCGGCGCTTGGCCATTATTTTTAATTATTACTGTTTAATTACAACCGTGCCGCCCGCGTGTCGAATCTGCGGCGGCCAAACGGCAGGGCGGCAGCGGCGGGCGGGAGGCGCCATGGCGGCGGGGGCGCTGCCCGGGCTGCGGCCCGCCCAGACGCAGCTGGAGTACGGCCTGCTGGACGCCGACAGCCCCCGCGACAAGGAGGCCTTGGTCTACGGCTACCTGCAGAAAGCCGACAGCCGGGAGCGGGACCTGACGGTGCCCGAGCTCGGTGGAGGTGGGTGGAGGGGCCCGCGATGGGCCCCGGTGCCCCCCCGGGCTCGCCCTGAGGGGCTCACCCTGAGGGGCTCACCCTGAGGGGGTGCCTTGGGTGACGAGGCTGGGAGCGGCTCTCTTTAAAGGTGTTTTTATCTGGTTATGGGGCTCTGAGTCTTCAAAAGCCCCCCGGGGGGGTAAAGGGCAACATAAGGGAAGCCCCTTATGGATGCTCGTTTGGTACCGGTTGCAAAAATCATGTTCTTTAAATCCTCTTTCTTCCGTTAGCTTCACTGACTTCTTTTTTTTTGTTTTCCCTCCAATAAAGCGTTTCGTTTTCCTCCAGTGTGTTGACAGGAAGCTTCCTCCCGCTCTCAGCTCTCTCTCCCTGGCTTCCCGCTCGTCAGTTTCCATCCCTGCACTCTAAGGCATGCTGTGCTGGAGACATCCTCCTCCTTCAGGGCTCTGCCTGTTTCCCCTTCGTGTTTCGCATATTTCTCCACCTCTTCTTGTGAAAAGTGTGAATCGAGGGTTACATAAAGGTCTCGCAAGTCCTGCTCGGGGTCCTTGTAACCTAAGTGAGGCTCTCTGGGACTCTGAGAGATTAAGGAGTTTGCAAGACGGAGGCCTAAGCAGATAAACTGTGGGATTAAAACCACACACTTAGCATAGGAGTGAATTCTGACTTTTAACCAATGAAGCAAAGTGAATGCTTTTTCTGTCTGGATTTGGACTCCCGAATTGAATTTTCACTTTCGTCATCAGTAATATTTCTGTTTCTGCCTTCTGTCAAAGCTTATATTCTGCAGAAATCAGCTCAAATAGTAGCCAGAGTTATTTATTTCCAGTTTATTTTTAGGAAAGATATCCCAATTCTACTGAAGAGGGAAGATACGTCATAAAACAAATAACCTGCTCTTTTCTTTTGAAAAAGCCAAGTGGAAAGTCTTGTCCATACACAGCAGAAATAATGCATAAATTATTGTAATTACTGTCACCAAATCTGAACGTTTGTGCATTCATTTATCCTTTTAAATATATATGTATATAGTATATAGGTAGGAAATAAATTTCTGCTTACTGAAGGAGGAAACAAACCTGCTGACTTGAGTAGCTGTAACTTCTGGGGCCATAAGAACTTGGTTTGCTGAAACTGACAGGGTGGAAGTTTTGAGTATTTTTAGATTAATCAGAGTAAATCTGTATGTTTAAAAAATCATAATTCATCAAAAACTTAGTTCAACTTTACAATGGGACTTAGCTATCTGGTTTTGATCCCGTTATTTTCAGAAGAGTTGGATGGAAATAATGGCAAACTGTAATCTAGGACATTTATGCCTTGATACCAGTTTCTTATGGGACCAGAGGAATTGGTCCCATAAGAAGTTACCAGTGAGGAAATATTGCCTTAATGTTTCATCAAGTAATTGAAATAAATGTCCAGGAGTACTGCTGACTATATGTGAGGGGGTTATATTCCCAGGTGGCAGTGTTATTTCACACCTGTCATTTGAAACTGTTGAAAATCAAGATCAAAGCTCTAAGTACAAAAATGTTGCTGTCATTTCTGAAACTAGCTCTTTAAACCCTTAATGATTTTGTAAGATTTTGTAATGGGTTATTAACTTACTTGCTTTTCTTTGAAGTTTAAGTAAATAGGTATTACACCTATGACTGTTAGGTGTTGAATAACGTAGATAATTTTTCAAAATGTATGGGAATTGTTCCGAGGTTTGCATGTTCTTTTGATTAAAAGGTGACAATTTAACTATATAAACAACTCTTCCACATTACATTTAGTTAATATTCTCATTTACTAATTTTGAAGAATTGTATAATACAAGGGTGGGTTTGATAAATATGAGACATCTGTTTTGCTTTTGTACTTGCTAGAAAGTTATGTTGTAACTTTTCTTTAATGAAATATACTAGGAATGTGTGTTGTCATGTAAATCAGGCGTGTCTTTCCCTACCCTTCCCCTGACTGGGTATCTCTGCTCTCTGAATTGCAGATCTACAATGGCTGAACACCGAAGGTCCTATTTCTCTTCACAAAGACCTTTGTGGAAAAGTGGTGGTGTTGGATTTCTTTACTTACTGCTGTATCAATTGCTTGCACCTGCTGCCTGATCTCCACGAGTTAGAGCAGCAGTACTCTGATAAAGGTAAAAGAGCCTTGGCTTGCTTGGAACAAAATTTCCTGGCAGTGTTGCAGGTGGAGTAGCTGAGTCACTTTGTTGGTTACTAAACAGCTGGCAAAATTTCAGGGGTGCCTAAAAATGTCTTCTAATATTTAAAGTATTGGAAGAAAAAAAAAAAAAGGTTACCGGCTATGCTTTCATCGCATTTTTAGATGGGGTTAAATATGGCATCTGTTGTGTCTCTATAAATAAAGAAATGGGATATGTGCTTGAAGCACAAATCCTATATCCTCATGAATAGGGCGGTTTACGAAATGTGAGGACGTAAGATGCGGGCTCAGTTGATAGATGTACACTTTACTTAGTAACCAGCTCTGAGCAAAATGTTACACAGATGGTAGAACGGATATAGTTTAATGACCTTTTTCCCCCTTTCTAACTGAAATAGCAAAATATGTAAACATGGTTTAGGATTTTTTAATGTTTACTTTTTGGTATTTGCATTGCCTTATTTTCAGTTAGTAATCCTCTGTTCTGGAGAGGGAATTAATCCCTTTAATTTCACTTCTGAGATAAAATCTCAATCTCTCTCTGAATGAATGAAAATGCAGGGTAACTCCTATTTAGAATTTAGTCTCTTGTCATCCTGATGACTTGTCAGAGAGAAGACGTGGTCTTACCCAGGGATGTATCAGCTGCTAACTTGGCTATTTTGGTAGGCTAAATGATGAGATGAACAGTGTTAACTTTTGGTCCTTAAAATCTTGTGTTAAATACTATAATAAAAATAACCTTGCCTTATAATGTTTACATTTCCGATTCTCTGTTTGCTCTTCTGATTTGATTTTCATTTTGCCAGCATTTATTTTCATGCATTACCTACTCCCACTAGAAAAATAACCATCTTTGAAATTACAACTTTAAGTTGTTCACTCATATATTGTAGGTTTAAATGGTAATCCTGCTATGGAAAGTTAAGTTGTTTGGCTTGATAAATTTGAGAAATATTGGAAGAATAAGACTGAAGTTGAAAGGATGTCAGGTGTACCAGAAATACTGTAAGAATATCAAGATATATTAATGCAGGTATCTTGATATTCATCCTGATTCTGGAGTTTCATTACATTTTAATCTGCTGTCATGTTTAGTTAATGGAAGTTTCTTCTTCCTTCAGGGGATGGGGGGAAGATTGACTTTCACTCAGCTGGTTCCCCAACCTCATACCTCATAACTGGAAGAAAAAGAATATTTAGTGAAATTGTAACTTTATTAAACGTCAGCTTTGTAAACATAGCATTTATATACATGTTTAATCTACATATTTACAGTGCTGTGGTAGTGACAGAAGGTCCTGATCTAGCAGACAGTGTAAGAGTGAAAACAAGCATCTTACTCTGACAAGATATCTATGTCACTGTGCATTTGGATCTTAATCTGTTGTTTGAACAGCTGAACGACTGTTGCCTCCATCTTTCTGCATAACTGAGAACAAATCTTAATACTGATATAATTAATAGCAGTATCTGTTTTTGATTGTACCTTCTGTAGATATTTTTTGATATTCTGATTATTCTTTTCTTGTTCACATGGTTCAAATACTGGCGTATGTGGAATACGTTGCTGAAGTTTCAGTGTGATCATCAGACGTGAGATGTCCGAACCTGAGAGTCTGTAGTTTTAAGATGTTTTTAAGCCATTAAATGTCTTAGTATATACGCACACAGTTCTATTGTCTGGAACTCAAGGAGATTTGTCTCAAAATAAAGACTGCTTTCCATAGGATTAAATGTCGCCTAGCATCTTTATCTGATACGTTCTCATTGCTATCTTCAGTGGAGCTATTTCTGTTTTTCAAGTGGCGTTCAGAAAGTTATTTTAAACTCCAGTGCATATTCAGTTCATGTTATCAGCAGTCCAGAAATGACTTCTATAAGAGGGAGTACTTTTTAATATTCAGAAATAGCTTGGCATAAGTCCAGTGTTGTGCTCTGCTATAATCCTTCAAATAAAGTGTTTTAAATGGTGTGCATGTTTTTATATCACAGTGTAACATCTGTCAGTTTCCACACAAGTTTTCTTCATGAGAGGATATTATAACATATATGTGCTATACAGGTGTCCAGTATAGTATTGTCCTTCTAGCTCTAGCGATGCTTTTGACGGACAAATTATAAGTACTGCTGCTGATCCTATTGTAGTTAAAATGTTTGACTTGCTGTTCAGAGCTCAACAGTTTACGATACTACAGTTTGAGCTGTTTTACAGCAGTGTACTGTGCAGGCAGGATTGGCAAAGACAGTATCAGTGATTTTTTTTTTAATTTATCTGTATACTTGTTTTATTCAATTAATGTGCGGAATTTTACTGGTTTTTGTTCTCATATTGAAATATTACCATTCCTGCAGATGCTATTCTTCTTATTCTTCTCCATTAATACTGTTTTACAGTTGGGGACAAGGGCCAAAATAGAAAAATAGTTCTCAATTTCCAAATAAAAAGCCAATCTGACATTAAATTAGTTAAACTCCTCTGAGCTCAATAATACAAGTGCTTAAGATATGAACTAATTGCCTTTCCTGCATGTCTACCACAAAACCATCAAAATAATTGACTTGAAATAAAAATTAAATAGGGATTGTGCTGCCAAAACAATAGCTGCTCTGGCAGCCTTCCATTTTTGCAGAGCTAATTCATCAAATGCTAGCAATGCAGTGTGCATTACTGTAGAAAACTTCTTTCCTTCAGCAGGTGTCAGACAACCATAATGCATCCTGAAACACTTACTCCCTTTTTCAAGAAAGGGATTATTTCTCCTCTGGCTTTGTACATTTATAATATGTTTTTTGTTTTTTGTTTTTTTTTTAAAAAAAAAAGAAAAAGAGGACAAGCTTTTTTTTCCCCGGTCATTTGTGGTAATATAGAGTTATCCCATAATCCATGTTATATATTGCTTTAAGCTTCAAAATGAAAAACAAAACAAAAAACAGCAAACAGTGCAGGCACTAGAAACAAATTGGCGTAGAGTTCTTCATGACAGGAATGCTTTCCAAAGCCAGCATCTGGATTTTTGCATTGCAGAACAGAACAAACTGGACGTATCTTCCTATCACATCAGATGTTTTTAATGGCTGGGTAGAAAACATGGTGTTAGAAATAAAACCATTGGGATGAGAGTTTAGACAGGATCATATGGCAAAACTTTAGGGGAATGTCATGGTTTAATATCACCTGAATTGTAGAAATCTTCAAGAGTGTGAGAAGAAGGTTTGGCATTATTATTCATGTTGTTTGTTTGCTTTTGTTTTTACAAAAACTGAATTAAAAAAAAAGATCCACTGAGCAACAGGGAAAGAAGAGATTTGCAGCTGTATGTTTAGGTAGGCTGAAGAAGAGCAACCTAAAGAAAGAGGCTGCAATCCTAAATTCAGACCAATTCAGCATGGATTACTGTGCTGGCAGTCAGACCCTGAGGAATTTGGAATGCTGTCGGAAAAAACAATGGCGAAACGTAGCGAATGCCTGAATATAATCCCTACCTGGAAGCAAAGCAAAGATTTCTGAACTCGAATGGGTTTGTGTAAAATAAGCATTCTTCATGTGCCAGTGAAGTCAAGGACTGTGAATTTGAGAAGAAAACCTCACTTTTAGTCTAACTTAGTCACATTCAGTGTTGGCATAATGTGGGACTGTTGGCTGATTTTAAGTGCTGAAAGCAGGATTTGAAATTTTGCTTAAATCTAAGGCCCAGTCTGGTCAAAATTTGGTCAAATGACAGAACTGAAAAGTGATTTAAAGAAATGGTCAAGTAACTGAGAGCAGCCAGTGTAGGCATGGTGGTGGAGCTCTCTGGCTCCTGCCTGGGAAGAGCAGAGGCAGAAGAAAGATACGTCAGCTAGCCAGACCCCACCCCTACCATAAAGCTAGGAGGAAAACCTAAAACCAAATACTGCTTTCCGTTCAAACCTCTCTCCTTGCATGTGGTTGCTTACAAGTGTCTTCTGGGCCCTTTTCTGATCAGAGGGCTGGTGTTACCCTTCTTGCAGTGCTGAACTCCCCTGGCTGTAACTGCACTGCTTTCAGAGAACGGCTGTACAAAAGCATTCTGCTTTTACGTACGTGCCCAGGGTTATATTAGGGAGGCGTTTTAATGGATAAGGTAGAAAATGCCAAATAACAGGAATGATCTGACATGTAAATTTCCAATTCAGAATGACTTGTGGCATATTAGTTGATCCTAAATTAAATAAAATATGTGATGCGTGAGTTATTGTGGAAAAATATACATTTCCTGTGAAATAAAATATGAAATGTTAGAATGCTGTTAAATAAAATAAATGCCTTTGATAAGGAGAAAGATGCATTAACGTGCAAGCTGCAAAGAGCTATTTCTTTTGTAATTTTCTCATCCTAAAGAACTAATTCTGGCTCTTGATATTTGCAGTTGTAAATGGAAAAGGGAAAGAGAAACAGGAGAGGGAAAAGAGGCATTGTTCTGAAAACTGTGAGAATCTAGAAGATGAGAAATAAATTTGTCAGCAATGTTACTGAAAATATTTAGGTTTTGTTTGTATTAGATTTGTGGTAAACGAAGTCTTCATTCCCTTGTAACAAATGGTTATTTTAATAAGGACAAAAATTGTCATCAAAAATCTAAGTAACTACTGCTTCGAGTAACTAAAACTGTTGATGCTCTGAAATCTTCTTAAAACTTTGCTGAGAAAACATTTATCTAAAATTAGTCTTTTCCAGATTAGAGACCTTTGGGGACAGCTATTTCCATTGGATTTTGCTTAGGACAAAACGTAACCGTATTAGTCAAGTCAACTCCAAATAACGGAAGTTGAGTGACTTTGCGCATCAGCCTTTATCCTTTCAAATTGCAAATTGTATCCTGCTTTTATAAACTTAATAGCTATTCAACCAAATCTATTTTGTCTGTAGTGGTACAATATGACATTTTTGATTGCAGTGAATATTTGAAGGAGCACAAATGAATTTAAGATACAACGTAGTAATTCAAAGTGAATGTAATTTAAGAACCTCATGAAACTCTTCAGGGGTCTGCACTGATTTTATTTCCAAGTATAAGCATTGTGAGAATTGGATTAGGTTGGATAATGTCTCTTCTTTTTCCGTGCCACCCTGTAAGGCCTCCAAGTCATCTTTTTTTTTTTCTTTTTCATGTTACTTCCATGACTGAAAAAATTGTGGTGCTACAAGGGATCCACCTATAGACGTTGGATGACTAGGGGAGGGAAGGAAATGCTACAGATACTTGAATGTTAATAATGAGGGTGTTATAAATGCTCAATATTTGTTTAGACCTGACTGGAGGGGAGGATGAAAACACTTTGTTGTTGTTGCTGTCTAAATATTTTCTAATACTGGAGTGAATTGAACCAAGCTGGGTGTCAGCTCTATGGATATTCTTCTTCCCACTTAATTTCACCCTTCTCAAAATAACACAAATGATCAGATAAAAGTTCAAAACTTTAAATTAGACAAAGTAGTAGAAGGGTCCTTGTTGTTATCTGTGGGTACAAAAAGCTCACGCTATCCAGAAAGAAAAAGATTTGTGGATACACAGGAAGGTCAGAATGTAGGGTTTCCATTAGATCAACAGTTCTGGTTTAAAATTGTTGTATCGCATCTTCCTACAACTGCATGGTTATTGTTGTTATCTTCCTTGCTTTAGTGAGGAAAAATACTAAATGTCTCGTGATGGCAGTGAGCAACAGACTCTGGAAATGGAATGTTCTGAAATTTAATCAAATGTCATGGTTCAGACAGGCTCGTTTATTTTGCTCAGATCTCTGAAGTTTAATAAAAATACTCCCAAACCCAAATCATCACAGATCTGACAAGTTATTCTGACTAACAAGATGATGCTCTTTGCTAAGTATTCTCTGGTACAAAGTGAGACGAAATACGGTGTTGATGTCATGTGCGTAGCTCATTGCGTTTGGTAGAGGTTCTGCTGGTAAAACGTAATTTAAGGCTCTGAAAAAGGCTGTAGTGGTGTGTGTTTGTTTGTTAGGGGTCCTTTTTTTGCTCCTAGGACGTACCAAAAAGTGACTCAACTAAAAGGAAGGCTCGTCATTCTTTTTCTGTTGAGTAGGTAGGGGGAATGGAAATTTTGGGGCTGCTTACGTAAGTGTCTGCAGGGGGTGGATGTATATTTCTTTTTTGTCGCGCAGAGAAAAGCAAATGAAGTCTGAGCCATACATTTGTGTTTCTGTTTGAATTTCATGAAACTGAGGAAAAAAAGCAATTCAAGGACTCTGGTAATTGTGTGCTTTTTTGATCATTTTTACGCTCGATACTATGTATTCTGTGTATGTAAGCTGAATTATATTACTTGGTGCTTGTGCAGCACCTTCACACTAGGATTTCAAGTGCAGTTCCCTCTGTTGTGGGAAAACCTGAACTTTTCGTTGTCTTTATTAACTAAGTATAGAAATTAGGTTAAAAACTGTAAGGGGAGGGGAAAAATTATAATTAATTCTCTTTTTTTAATTTTAAATATAGGATACTATTTGATTTTAGGTGCCTCTTTTTGTTTGTTTGTTTGTTTTGTTTGTTTTTTTTTAAACTTGATCTAGAGTGAGATATGCCAAGATAACTCTGGACTCGTGATCACTAGTTTAGAGTGGAAAATAATTAGTTTTCTGTAAACAACATAGCTATGTAAAGGAAGCAAAAGTCAAAGAGGTATCCTAAACACTTGAAAGAACAAAGCATCAGTCAAACGTGGCTAAGCTGTAGCAGTTCATTTTGAAAGAATTTTCTGCCTTAGAGATTCAGGGCTTAAGAACAATATATAACATATTATGCTCTTTATTTGTTCAAATCCTCTTTCCTTTTTTTCTGGGAAGCAGTTAGTAATGTTGTGGGATACCTGTGCTTCCTTCTTACATGTTTTTTTTAATTGAACTACAGGTATGTTTCAATGCAATACTTCATTTTTCCTTTCAGATGGCCTTGTTATTATTGGTGTCCACTCAGCGAAATTCCCGAATGAGAAAGTCCTGGATAACATCAAGAGTGCAGTTCTGAGATACAACATTGTCCACCCATGTAGTAAATGATGCAGATGCAACATTGTGGCACGAGCTAGAAGTGTCCTGCTGGCCAACTCTGGTCATTCTTGGCCCTCGTGGAAACATGCTCTTTTCGCTTGTTGGAGAAGGCCACAAGGAGAAGCTGTTTTTGTTTACTTCTGTAGCACTGAAATTCTACAAGGAGAGAGGACAAATCAAGGACAACAGTATTGGAATAAAGCTATACAGGGACTCCCTCCCACCTTCTCCCCTGCTGTTTCCTGGCAAAGTGACAGTAGATAATTCAGGAGAAAGGCTGGTAATTGCAGACACTGGACATCACAGGATTTTGGTTACTCAGAAAAATGGGCAGATTCTGCACACTATTGGAGGTAAGATTATGTAAGTTTTATTTAGGAGTAGACTATATTCGGTGGTGCTGCTAGGACCTAGCAGTTCATAAGCATTGATAAAATTTTTTTCTTATAAAATCACTTTTGCAGGAGGTGAGGGAATATAGCGTAGTACCATCAGTGGGAGGCTCTGTTAATGCAACTGGTTGAGGTGTCCCTTATTTGTTGTCGTTATTTCATTGACTAAGTTTTGTATTTTCATGTGATAGCCAATATGAATTACAAAAGAATAGAGTCATAGGATCATTAAGGTTGAAAAAGACCTCCAAGATCATCTGGTCCAACCATCTTCTGAAAGAGTTTCAAATGTGTTTAGATTTCAGTGACATACATTCACATCCAGCATCAAGATGGGGAAAAGAGATAAAAATACTTCCCTTTCCAAGAGGAAAAAACAAACATGGAATTTTGATGGTTTTGATGGTGTGTTTTGGGGGTGCTTTTCTTTGTTTGTTTTAAATGAAGAACATCCCTCAATAGGATTCACAAACTTCAGAAAAATACCAGTGGCACTACTGTTTTAAGAAAGGAAGGAAATATTTCATTATTTGATGGAACAGTGCATTGAATAGACAGGCTAATTATCCAGGCTAACCTGATAAAGACCTTAATACCCTTCTATGGGAAGTACAAACAAGGTTTCTTATGACAAGAGTCAGACAATTTGTTTTCTGTTTGGTATGTGAGATGAAGTCTCTGCCAGCAAAACACCCTTTAGTATTCTGGGATATTCATTAAATAGCAACTTGGAGGGAAGTCTTGTTATCTCTGAATGGGTACCCCTGCTTCCTTTGGCACTCTGTGCTGTTCCCTATGAATGGGCATCCTGATGTAGTTACAAGAGGAATTATCGGAAACTGAAACAGCAGCACCTCAATGTTTCATGTCTGTTAACGTCTAAATTGTTTTCTGAGAGTAAGTTGTAAAAGTTTGCGTGTTTCAGTGACTCAGTTAAGTGATTTTGTGGGCAGAAAATAGTGTAACGAAGTTGATAATACTGTAATAAATGTGGGCATGCACAAAGGTTGAAATTACTATATTTGCATCACAAATCATGATGCACACATAATAACTCATGTATCTAAATGTCTTTTGCTGACACACAGTGCTAATGCACTTTAAATGTTACTCCCTATAAATGCGATGCTTACCTTCACACTGTTTTATTCAGGTCATGTTCCTCCCTCTCTTTCCTCTTTGTGCTATACAGAAGGCTGTCACTCCATCATTCTCACTGTTCTTCCGTGTAATTAGTTGCGTGTCATCTTTTTGTCAGCTTGTATTATTAATAAGAAAGTGCTGCTAATCAAATATTAGTTTCAGTGTAATTACAGCAAAATCTAAATCATTGAAATGTAATTGAGTTTTGGAATTTTAAATCTTTGGTGCTGGCTGCTTTTGGTAATGGTTTGGCTGTTAATTAGGAATAAAAAAAAGGCTATACAAGGTGCAATGAAAGCATCTTTTAGAATATGTAATTATCTTACAGGTTTAAAAACATACACTTTGTTTTTTTTTAAGTTTTATTTTTCTGAAATGAGTTTTGCTTTGTTTCATTTATAGGTCCAAACAGTGGAAGAAAAGATGGAAGATTTTCAGAGGCATCTTTTAACTCACCACAAGGAATTGCTATAAAAAATAATGTTATTTACGTAGCTGATACAGAAAATCATCTAATTAGAAAGGTAAATTTTCCATAAGGAAACAACCTCTTCCCCTACTTACACAGGTGAAAATTTATACCAAACTAATTATTCTACAAATATCTTCAACATCAGGAAGGAAATTTGGACTAATATAAATATTGTTGTGCATTTCCATTTTTAAAGGGCTACATATGCTTTTGTACTTCCGTTCATAGAATCATTCAGGTTGGAAAGGACCTCTAAGATCATCTAGAAATGAAGAATGTGCCTCTTGTTCTAGCATAACTGATAGCTTTTTTTTTTTTTTTTTTAACTTGTGACTCTTGCTTTCCTGTTATGAGAAACGTCTATTCTTAGTATTGGAAGTAGAAGCTGTTTCTATTTCACTTACAGTTCAGATCCTTATCTAAGGTTATTGTACTCTTATGGTTTGGTGGATATCTGAATTTTTGTTAACTAGTTGTTTGGTCCTGTAAGCATACCTGCTTTAATTTCAGAATTATTTGTGTGTAGATTTTTCTTTTTTAACTAAATACTTGAAGTTTTTAGTGCATAGGAATGTTGCTCAGTATAAACAGGAGTTGAATCTTAAACCCAGTTAGGCAAAATTTGGAATAATCTGAAGTTTGCTGAAGCAATATCATATTACCTTATTAATAAAAGTTTTTATGCATCTCAGAAGATATTTACTCATATTTACTAGCCAGTAGGATGTCTGAGTCATGATCAGAAGAGGTACACACTTACTCAATTCAAAAAGCTTTTTTTACTGTTCAGTATGTTCACATTCATTCAGTGTTTCAATCAGAGCACTACCCTAGAAGCCCTCTGCGCTGTATTCATTGTCGTTGGCTACCGGTTTTAAACTGGAAAGGACCAAGTGGCCCTGTTGGTCTAAGGCCTTCATCTTCATAATAATCACCACATTAGCCTGTTGACCAGAGATAATTAGGTGTTACGGTTAACAGAGTGCAGAAACTGCTGAAGTTCTGGGTCATATTGCTTCAGCATCTCTCATGATAAGTAGCTGTTCCCTTTTATTTAAGTTTGCCATCATGGTATCCAAGAATTAAAATAATCGGTCAGCTATAGGACATCCTTTCAAATGTTTGTGCAGGACACAGGCCTTGCAAACTGCTCCAAAAGTTATTTTTCATGCTACACGTGTGAAAGACTCCTTTTTTTATATAATCATTACAATAAATTCATGAGAAGTATTGAAACTCTTAGATTATAAACAAAGGGGGAAGGAAAGATAAATGGATTTAGGCTGCAGAAATTAAACATTTTTTTTTCCAACACATGAAATTAATTGCAAAAATGTTTTGTATAGATCATTTTATGTAGAGATAGGAAGTACTTCTACAATATCTGATTTTTTTTATAGAAGAAGTCTAAAATGAAACATCCATATCCACTGTCCATCTGAATACTTCTCTAGAAAATGTTGATACTTTCTTCCAGAGTTGCTGACCAAATTTTGACAGATCATTGTTGGTGCATCTGGAAGAAAATTTCAGTCACTTGCTTTTCCTGCTGTCCCCCACCAGCAGCAAACATTATGGTAAAATTAATTATTCTCCTTCATAAATGAGTATTAGGATTTGGTTTTTAGTTGCAAGCAAAGATCCTCTGTTTTAAACATTGCTAGGTCAGATTATCTGTATTACCTCTGTATTAACTCAAGGTGCTGTTGTATCTTTAGCGTATATCATTTTGCTTCTTGCAGATTGACCTGGATTTAGAGATCGTGACTACTGTAGCAGGCATTGGGATACAAGGTGTTGACAAGGAAGGTGGAGCAAAAGGAGAAGAGCAGCCTATCAGCTCTCCATGGGATGTGGTTTTTGGTAATTCAGGTATAGTATCAGTTGAACTTTTAACATCTCACATTTATGCATCATAAGTGTTCGTTAAATGTTTTCCTGCTCTGGTAACAATTTGAAGTTCAGTAAATATTTACTTTACAAGTGGGTCTAAAAAACAGTGGTTTCTTGTGTACAAGTACTGCACTGCTGTTATCAGCTCCATCTAAGTTTCTGAAGTCCTTGAAAAAATGTGAATTGGTACCTGACCTGAAGCATAACTATTTTGTAGCAAGATACGTAGTTATTAGGTCCAAATGCAGAAGGGAATTGTGATTACCTTTGGTGCGCCAGTGCTTTATGTCAGGATTGCTTAAGCAGCAGATGCATTTTACAGGAAGGGAACATTGTCTAAAGTTCTTTTCCTTGACTATACAGATATGTCTTACCACTTGTAAATATTTGAGTTCAGGAAATAAAAATAATTTTATCTGGTGACTTCTGTTTATTCCTGTTTAGACGATGTGAAATCATTAGACTCAAGACCATAACAGAGGGCAAACAGATAGAAGAAGAACACCTCAGAAAACACCTTTCGAGCATGAGAGCATAAAAATAAAATCTTTGCATAATAGGATGTAAGAATAAACTTCTGAGGATTTAAATGGTTTTCTTTTCTGATCAACTTAACACACTCCTGAGACTTACATCAAGTAACTGCCATGTTTCTTACATTTCCATCTCGGTATGATTTAGAAGTTGCAAATGCAAGTTTCTTAATGACAGTAAAATGATTTAGTGTAGCTTAAAACCCTTATATCAGGGAAGGAAAAACACACAGATTTCCCTTAAGCTAGTTCATGAATGCTGATTGTATGGAAGTCTTCTGGCAGAAATACATTGCCAGTTTAGACAGTGTACTACCAAAAGCCTTGGCTACTAAAGTAAGCCACAGGCATCAATTTCACATTTCACACTTTCAGTAACATGACAATACACACACACACACAACACTCTAAACTGAAAGGGTTGTCAATGATTCTTACTAATTAAGGGTGTCAAGGAATAGGGAATTCTACTTAATAGGAGTACTTGAAAGAGAATCTCACCAAATCTAGGTTGCTGTTAATAAATTTTATCCAGTCTGATTTCACTTTTGTGATCCAGTAGACTTCTGTGGGACTTGATGGTGTAGTTTTCATTGTATCTTGAACCAGCAAGCTGATTGCTGTGGGATGTTGTCACAGAGCTGTTTTGCAGATCAGTAACAGAGGGGAGCACTAACTCAGAAAGTATTGCCCGAGTGCATCAGAAATTTAAGCTAGCTAATAGAACTATTCAAAATATCCTTTAATTTTGCTTACCATTTTCATGATGCTTTCTTCTACTTCTGCCAGTATCCACTGATACTTTTATTTTTGAGAGCTCTGATTGTTAAATGAAATGTTAAATTATATGATTGTTATCAACATGAATATAGTAATCACTGAATTAGTCACCTGTGAAGGATTAGTCATCTGAGCTATTTAACATTGCTGAATTTATATCAGTGTTTATATGAAAATCAAACTTTCTAGATGTACTGTTTTCAGACCAGTATGATTTTTTTTTTCATACTCAATCAGATCCTACCAGTCAGTTGGCTATTCAGATCTGTACAAAATATAATATAACCCATCACTTAAGAGGAGATCAAATCAATTTAGTTTTCTTATTTGGGAGGGTAAAAGGTCAGATAGATAAAATGGAGGGCTGCTTTCAGATTGTTTTTTTAGAGCTTTGATATGGTTTTGTGTGAGTAAGGTAAGGTAGTTGCCTGCCATATGTAAATGAGTGTAATATCTACATAGATCTCATTAGAAAAATATGACCAGAGAGAGATGTCAAAACAGAAGGCTATATTGAGTAGAATGTTAACAAGAGAATGTCCCAGAGCCCGGTAACACTAATCTAAAAAGGGTGTTTTTAGGGGGCCAAAACTGCAGGATGCAATTAAGTCACTGTTTGCAAGGAAACTGGAAGAATCAGAGGAGGTTTGAGCAGATGAACGAATGGTGCTCACTGAGACACTGTCTCGAGATGAAGCACAAAACCAAACAGATTGTGCTCAGGGAGCCAGGAATATATGTTAAAAGGCTTCATTGTTTGCTTATATTTTTTAATGTATTGTTTGTTGTGAAGTTAAACTAATTCAAATCGTCGTCTGAAAGATGCCATTCACAGAACCAAGAAAAGCCCTCTGTAATCCTCCAGCACTGTATTCACAAGTCATTATCACTTTGAGGCAGAAGGTGTCAAAGGTGTGAAGTAAATACAAAGCTAAGTTGTAACATTTTGGTATTTCATGGATTCCAGATGACATCAAGCCTGATTCAAAGCCCACTGAAGTCATCAAATCTGTTGCTGACATCTGTCTTGACAATGCAGGAAATAGTGAATGACTTTTTGTGTGTGTTAGTTTGCCTCCCAGTATGCTAAGAGTCAGACTTAACTTCAGTGCAGTTCAGCACTGTGGTATCTGGTTTTACTGTGATCGCGTTGGAAAACATTTTTGGAAATCAGCATTCGTAAGATAAAGTTTTAATTTAATCTAATAAGCAAAACCAAGACCTGAAAGGGTATGATACCATCTTTGACAAGAACAGTTGTATCCCCATTGTTAGAGGCTTCTGTGTGATTGGAATTTGCTTTCTATATATTCCAAATATGAAAATACTGAGGAGAAAAGTTAGGCATAGACAAGTTAATCTTTAGAACAGATACTGCTGTCATTCTTCTAACCATCCTCAGAGGATTTCTGCAAGATGATAAGCTTCTGTTTCCCCATTTTTGCTGAAGTTTGAGGCAAAGTGGGTCATAAAACTATAGAATGGTTTGGGTTGGAAGGGACCTTAAAGACTAATTCCAGCCCCTCTCCCAGTCACCTTCCATGAGGTTAAATGACTGAAATACAATTTAATAGAAAGCTGATAAAAATGTCTCTCTAAGGTAGGGGAGTTAAGACAAAAAACTGCTGGCATTCACGTAGACAGTATTCTCCTTTATCATCTTTTTAATTTCTTTAATTGTGGCTACTGAACTTGTGTTTTACCCTCCCCCTTTAACAGTCTTGAGTGAACTCGATGGATTAAATTCTGCTGTTGAAGGTGGTGCTGAAATTTGCATTGACATAGATTGTGTCACAAATCTATGTGTAGGAAATACACAATGCAGGGGGGAGGCCAGCAGCTTAAAAATACATTATTAAATTACTGTGTGCTTTTTTAGCTTTCTATGTTGTCCTCTTCTATTTTTACTCAGTGGGTGTTGAAAGCAAGTGATACTTAAATGCAAAGTTGATCTGAGTGTGAAATGTTCTTGATAGCTGCATTCTTGCTGGAAGGAACAGGACGATGACCTGTGCTTGGTGACATAACTCTGTGGTTCACATTCCAAAATCCAGCCTGAAATTTCATGGTTGTATTTTATTTATAGAAACTCCCAAGCACAGTATTGCCCATGTGTTCAGCAAATTAGTTGGAAATGTTTACGTCAATACAGGTTTTACGTAGATATTATTGAAATGAAAGTACTGTACCTTATCACACTGGTGCAATCTTTATAGCCCTTAAAAGGCAAAAGCACGTACAATTTTTTTCTTGTGTTTCTGCTAGAGGATTGTTTAGTACAACTGCATTCCAGAGGAAATACTTCTTTTTTCTTTTTTTTTGGAAATCTTTTTTTTTTTTTTTTTTTTTTTTTTTAATCTTGAAAGCATGCTTTCTACATGTCACTTTTTTTCCCCTTCTAGTCTGGTCTCATCTGAGGCTCTCGCCTTCTCTGCCTTATGAAAGGAATCTTCCTTGATTAGAGCTGAAAATAAAAGAGCTCCTTTTGAGATCATCAGGGTTTAATTAGGAACCATTTTTCTTGACAACTCAAAATTTGAATTGCTCTAAATGTATGTTGCATATGTGCTATGACTGCATGATGTGTCAGTGTAGACTAACTAGAAATGCAAAAGGCTTTCTCATCTCCTCAGCAGTTTCCAGTGCAAAAGTAGAAGCTCAGAGATCCCATGCCCAGTTTTGGGCTGAATCTGTCCTTATAAAAGTTAATGGCACAGAAAACCACGTTAGAGACATCACTGACATTAGAAAGCATCGTTTGTCTTCTCTTCTTGAACTAGATTCTAAATCTACTTGCAAAAGGTCATTATTTTTTCTATAAAATATGACAAATTTAAAAGAAAAAGAAGCTTCATTAAAGTTAAGGCTAAAGTAAAATGGAAGATGTTATAGGGTTTCATTCCCGTGTAACGACTGTTTGAGGAGAATAAATCTTTTGAGAAATGTGACATTAAGTAGTTGCAATAAAGGACTGCAGAGAAGAAGAAAGCTATAGAGGAATGTTTGGGGAGGGTTTTTGAAGCTCACTGTGTTCTTACATGCCTTGTCCGAGTGGGTCAGTCAGCTTCGTACTGCTGGCAGAATCCCAAAGAGGGACAAATACATTAAGTTAGGACATGTGAAAACTTCACCTAAGTCTATGCACAGATTCTGTCATCCCTAAGCAGCTTTCATTCCTTCTCCTAAACTGGCATTTGTGTGGCTTTTTCCTTTTTCTTCTTTTTTACCTTTAAGTATTTGAAGGAAAATTGAGGCGAGAGAAACTTAAGAGAACTAGTAACTGCTGATATGATCGCCCCAACAAACTTTCTGTACAGTAACCCAGTTAAACTGTTGCCTGAATGCTCCATTCCTGTATTCCAGACCAAAATAAAGAGATTAAGGGTTGATGGTATTTGCTGAATTTACAGCAGTAGGCTGTAAAGCAACAGGCTTTATTAATTTTTCACGTGTTTCCTGTAGAAGTAGGTCAAGAAATCAGATATTTGCATTAATATTTTAGTATAAGCATGCCTTCGACATATACATAGCATAAGAACGCGATGGGAGCTCTGACTGAATTTCCAGCAGCAATCCCACACAATTTAGTTTGACAGGCTCATTTTCTAGTAAATTGGGCTTCTCTAAAGCTTGACAAAGTAGATGATGATGATGATTGCTTTCTGCAGGAAAAGAAACATTTGGATTAGCAAAGTTAGCATCTTAACAGATGTCAAAGTCAGTAACATTTGGAAGTCTGTGCCTTTTATGTGCCCTCTGTATAAAATGATGAGATTTGTACCTGGAATGATGGTTTCTTATTCGCTTTTTTCCACAATCTGAATGTTTTGTTTCATGAATTAGATATATATTTGTGATACAGGAGTTAAAACTACTGATCAGATTCCTAAACGTTGTTTTAGGTACTAGATACTGTTTTCAATGTAAAGTTCCAGATGAAGAGCTGCTGAAAATAAACATCTTTGACAAGTCTTAAAAAGGCTTTGTTGGGCATGCTAGGGTCAGAATGAGACACGCTTCTGAACTGGTCTAATCCGATGCTGAAAGTGCTCCCAGTGTGCAAGGCCTGTTGGGGATGGGGGGAGTGCAGTGCTGAGGTACCCTCAGGTGTATGTGCTTGCTCTGAAATAGGAATGAATAACACACCTAACTACAGGAAAGCAAAGACTGGTTACAGTAATGTATCCCAACACTACATAATCTAAAGTAGCACTTTCACGTTAAAAAATGCCATCGCTTGCAATTTGGATTTCTATTTATTTATTTAAGCATATATTGCCGTTGCAGTTAGAAGACCTGAATGAGAAAACTTGAGATAGAAAGATATTTTTAGCTCCCTTTTATCTCCCATTGTATGACATCCCCTCCAAGATATCCACATCCAAGAGATTTCCCTTGATGAGATGAGGTAGTTTACTAAGGAGGAAAATTCTAAAAGCGTTTGGTTTCATAAAGGGTTATGCTTTTTGCATGATACGAGAGTAAGTGGAAGAGTGCTGGGTAGCACAGGGAAAAAGGAAGAAGGAGAAAATGAATTTTTACTCCTTCAAAAAGGATGACGTGTACGTGTAACAGTCCAGACTTGGTGCTAAAGCATTCCTTTTTGGGATTTGCCGTCTGTCTCACTGAAGACCAGTGATTCTTTAGTTGTTTTGTCAGTTGGATTTGGATTTAATTTGCTAAACTTTCACTGACTTAAGTGAAGACGCGACTCGCATTCATATGCGTAAGTATGCAGCATATGTGTCTGTGAGCAGGAGGGGCCGCTGAGCAGCCCTTTTTGCTTGTGTTTTTGCAGCGGATGAGTGTAGCAACAGGCTTCTTCCTCGTTACTGCTTTCTTTAAAAGATAAAATCAGTAGACAGGAATAATATTTTCAAACTTCAGTTTATTTAGAAAATAACAGTAGTGCCAGCCACCAAATGTGACTTTAATTCCCAGACTTTGCATTCTCAGTCTGGAAGTTAGCCTGCAGTCCCCAGACTGGGGAGCTGGATTTGTGTAGTAGTCCTGGGAATGGGGTCTCTCCAAACAGGTGTTGTTGCCTGCTGTTAAAGTCTTTTTTGTGTGCTCAGATTTACTCAGAAATAGTCTTTAAAAAGGTCGTTATTGAACTGCTTAAAATTGTGCGTGTGTACAAACAGGACTGGTAATTCTTAAAACATGGATATAGAGCAGAGGCGGACTCAGGAACTTGAAAAGCACTGAAATACCATCCTACATCACACAAGAGCATTCAGAGCTCTAGTTCATTAGTAGTGAATCTTTATAACATAAGTATATCGTATTTGTAAGCCATACTTTGCTTTGATACAGGCAGCACTAAAGATAAGAAAGTCCATACCCTAATAAGGAGAAACTCAACTGGATTTTTAAAACAGCTTGAGATAGTTTGGAATGTGGCGCTTAATTGAATCAATGTAAAAGAAATGCTTTGTTCTTTTATGTTGCTTTGTAATAAATTATTTAAAAATAATTTCTTTCCATTCAGGGACGATAAGGAGTTATGGTAATGATGGCATTATCGTAACTTTAACATGTTGGTTCTCCCTGTCCCCCTTCTCCTGCAAGCACAGTACAGGGATGACAATGGTGGCATGTCTCCAGATTGTTTTATCCTCAAAGAAGGTTTCTATCTTTTGTTTCAGAAGATAAAACATTAAATTCTGTAGTGTCAGGACCATTGTGTGATAAAATACCTTATCTCTGCAGCCATATGAATTGTTTTTACTTTTCTGGTTTTGTATAATTTTTTTTGATGAAAGCTCTTGACATATTTTCCGCAATTCAGTATGCTCATACTGTTCCCATGCCTCTCCCCATTCCCTTTGTTCTAATTGCTAGCCAGAAGAAAATATTTGTGTTAAAATTTGCAATTGCAGAGTTCCTACTTACATTTCCCGTCATGTTCTCTAGTTGAAGAAAGGACCTTGTCACTATTGATCTTGCATATTCTGTAAAATTTGAATGAATATTGATACATTTTGCTCCTATTCGAAGAGGCATTTGGTGTGCGGAATTAGAGTGAGACACCTTTTCATGTTTTCACCATGGAGCTGTCACAGAGGAGTGCGAGTGGGCGGAATTACAGAAATTAGATTTTATGGAATAGGTTTTTCTGAAGTGCTCGGCTCTAGTCTTACTCCTTCGTTTCATTGTTGGATGAAGTGAATATTAAATAATGAACAAAGGTTTTTCTGACATCCCTCAGTATGGATGGCACCGCGTAGCAAGATGAAGAGCTCCCTTTCTGAGCTTACCAGGGATTCTACTGTAGATCTTTTGGGGTACTCAGAGTAGCAGCATCTGAAAAATGCAAGCTCTGCAGTATGGAAGCAAAATCCTGGAAATGGATTGTGTGCTGTATGGAAAGTAGTGAAATGTTTTCCTAAGCAATTTTCTTGGTTTGAATCTTACAGAAACAAGTTCTAACCAAAGGGGATTCTGTCTTTTGGGGTTTTGTTAGGGTGACTGGGGTGTGTGTCTTGGTATTACCAATACTTTGGAAACGTGGCTGGAGACTTAAAACATTTGTTTTCCAACTCATTTTGAAAACCTTCCCTCTCAACAAAAAGCTTTTACATGCTTTGGAAGTCTGACATTTATTCTTGGAACTCCAGTTTGTGTAAAGACATGGAGCCATGTGGAAGTGCAGGAGAGAGTCAGCGAGTTCCTTTGATCGCAGCCTTGGAAACTTGTATCTCGATCCAAGAAACAGAAAAGGCAGAAGATAAACTGCATTAAAACCATACCAATGGTACTCTGAGGAGGGCTCACAGGATGAGGAAATTGATTCTGGAGATAGGAAACTATTTTTTTTCTGCTTGCAGTTGTAATGTGAGAAAGATTTAGGATTGAAAGAAAAGCAGCAGGATCTCAGTTGGGGGGATAGTGGCAATTTCATTTTAGAAAGATTGATTTGCACTAACTTCACAGATTTAAAATGTTTGCGAGCATTTTACATATAACTGCTTTTATTCTGAACCCCCCGATAAGGAATGGGGAGGGTAGCAGGGGCTGGACCATGAGATTGTTTGCAGGAACAAGTATGAGATGCACGTTTTTATAAATTCATGTGAATAAAAAGCTTGTGTGGGCAATTTAAGTGTTTTTCTGTTGACTAGCTAATAGCTATTCCAATACATTCATTTAGGAAAATATTTTAATATTGTTTTTAACTAGATCAGAGAGAGCTATACAATGTTTATGAACTACTAAAATGTTAGGTAACACTGGCCATGTTTTAATTCAGTTTTTAGATGTCAACTTTCTTGTTCCTTAGCTTTTTCAGAAAAGGATAATTATTTTTTTTAACATCCTTTCACAATTCATGCATTGCTATGCTGTAATATGCTATATTTTAAGCTGTAGAGCACTTATGTTCTTCTGTTTCCATTTGTACTTGTGAAGTGTTACCTAGAAAAGCTTTCTATAGGTTTGGATTGGTGAATATTGATGTTATACTTCGAGTTGAAAAAATTAGATGCTTGATACACACTTGAAACCTTCTTGATAAAGTTGCTGTTCCATGGACCTGCATCTTTCATTTGTGATAGCACATGTGAATAGGGAGTACTATTTGGAAACCAGATGGGTAGTGCAGAGGAAAATCAGTAACTGCACACATCACACTTCTCTGATTGAACAGTGGTTGTTGCTCTACAGAGCGTAAATTTCCATGATGCCCAAGCATCAATTCTGTTATCTTAAAAACACTACATACGTCCTCTTTACTGTCATTAGTAGTACCTCTGATTTCAGTGGGACTGTTACGTGTGGTATGGTTAGAACATCAGAATATTCAGGATAAATGACCAGGAACTAGCATGAGTGTATGGTCTGGAAGGTACTGCCATTGTTATTTGTCTTAAAATGTGTTAACAGTTCTTATTAGCATTTTGGAACATCTAATTTTGTCACCAGCATAGTGTGTGGTGGTTTTTTGTTTGTTTTTAAAGGAACACCCCAAAAACATAGCTTAGGAAAAACATGTACATATTTGTTGACCAGTATGATGCCAAAATAACAGGTGAAATGTGGAGCCAATAGCAAAATCTTGCAAAGAGCAAATTCTGTTTGAAGTATTGTCTTTACCAGGCAAAGATATAAAAATTGTGTTTTTAATATCCTTAGGAAGAGAATAAAAGAGCGGTAACGGGTTTCTTCAGAAATGAAAGACTTTCTCTCACTCTCTCGCTCTGTGGCTTGTTTGTTTGTTTTTCCCTGTGGCAAATGGTGAGCCGGAGTTAGGGGGATGGCAGGGTTGGTTTGTTGACTTGTTTTATGAAGCATTCCCAAAGAGGTTTTTTCATCTGTTCTTATACATCCATTTCTTTAAAAGTTTCAGAGACCCAGGAAGATGATGTTTTATGGATAGCGATGGCAGGCACGCATCAGATATGGGCACTGATGTTGGAAGGTGGAAAACTGCCAAAGGGAAGGTAAGCGGTTTTAATACAAGACACGTGAAACTGCTGTTTGTCTGGATAAACAGCCTTCAAACCCCACAGTGAGAGATAATCCAATTAATCTAAAAGTAATTTTTCTCAACCTGTACTTAGCTTGAAGCTTGCTGTTTCTCTTCAGACTTAAAAGGCTTGTGTCCTTTAAAGCCTGCCTGCTTTTACCCACGTCTGTTAGATGAAATGAAATATTCTGCTTTAGCTATAAAGCTATGACTTGGTAACGTACAGTCATATAATTCAATGGTACTTTTCATTGCATTTGCTGAATCACCTAGTGATAAATGATAAACTAAGGTGAAAAAAGTTAGCATAAAGGCATGGAATAATTTCTTGGTTTTATAATTCACGAGTGCTTTTCCCGTGATTTCTGTTCATGCATAATGTCACAAGTATTTCAGACTTGTTCTTGAATATGAGTATTATTTTCATTTAGTGATTTAAAGAAAGGAACCTGTCTTCGATTTGCTGGGAGTGGAAATGAAGAGAACAGAAACAACACCTACCCTCATAAGGCAGGCTTTGCACAACCTTCAGGTCTCTCTCTGGCTTCCGAGGAACCGTGGAACTGCCTTTTTGTAGCAGACAGTGAGAGCAGCACCGTGCGAACAATCTCTCTGAAAGATGGAGCAGTGAAGCACCTTGTAGGAGGAGAGAGAGATCCATTGGTAATCACTTCAAACTTCCCCACACTGCCCTACTAATATTCCTCAAGCCTGACCTGGAGGAACCACTGTTGGGGTGAGAGGGTAAATTAGTTTCCGTGGCCATCAGTTTCTTAACTTCACTGCTTGGAATGCAAATGTGTACCAGTCGTGGTGCTCAAGTTGTAGTGCAGAGCGTTGCTCCTCAGATACAAAAATTACTTCACCTACTTATAAAATAGCCAAACTGAAACAGTACTGTGGTGTTATTAAAGCCAGCTGCATTCATATTGATAATTTAAATGTGGTAGTTTCCATTTCCATCACTAGCATCCTTATTTCCTAGTTCTCAGTATCCTTGTTATAAAGTTGTCTTGTTTTTTGTTTTTTTTTATTTTCTCAGTGAATTTCCATTTAATTACAATCATTTAAATTCACGTCAACATTGAGTAATCAAATATTTTAATTTAATAATATTATTTTCCAGAACTTGTTTGCCTTTGGTGATGTGGATGGAGCAGGCATAAATGCGAAGCTGCAGCATCCCCTAGGAATAACATGGGACAAGAAAAGAAAATTGCTTTATGTGGCAGATTCCTATAATCATAAGGTAAGCATATATAGTAGCTTGACATATGCAGGCTTTACAATTTTTACTACTACGAGAGTTTATTTTCAGAGCATACAAAGACTATACTTGGTTGAGCTGAAGAAAGAAAGGATAAGAATTCTTTTGTGAGTTCTTTTTCCTTCCTTCCTTCCTTCCCTTATGGGTCCTTCTCTTTACCCATTGTTTTGGTGTTGTATGCTGCTGTGTTGATATGACAGCCCCTTGGGGAAGGTGAATTTGTACCAACTTACATATCCAACTAAAGACCCTTTTATTATATCTTTCCAAAGAAACTGATCTGGGGCAAAACAGCTAGGAATGGTTAGTCAGGAATACTGCAGGTTTGATAAAACCAGGAAAGCAAGAGGACTTGTTCTTTCCTCAAAAAAACACTCATGTTTTGAGAGGTATTTTGGGTTACCCCCATGGAATTCAAAGATGAGACAGGTTGTTCTGTGTTATTGTTCTCAAGCTTTAATGTCTATAAGGTTCCTAACTGTATGTTGATTAAATATATTAAAAAATAAGTAGTTTGTCTTGTTTTACAGAATAAGATATTTATATAATTAAATACTTGTTAAAAGCCAAGCTGATCAGCAAGCATACTTTTATACCAAAGAGGTAGGTGCCTTTGGAGGACAACACTGAATGAAGACCAGGAAGCAAGCTGGGAGATGTCTTTTGATAAAGTATGATAACATAGCTTCCAGGACACATGCTTGTTACCTAAGATAATCAAAGTTAATGTTGGTTTCTGAAAATGCAGGATGTAAGATAATGAAGAACTTCCACATTCTGGTAGTTTTTTCAGAGAGGTTGTTTGTTTGTTTTTGTTTTAGATTAAGGTTGTAGATCCCAAAACAAAGAACTGCGCTACCCTGGCAGGCACAGGAGAAGCAAGCAATGTTATTGGTTCCAGCTTTACACAGTCAACTTTTAAAGAACCAGGAGGTTTGTGTGTTGAAGAGAATGGCCGCCTGATGTATGTTGCAGACACAAATAATCATCAGATTAAAGTGCTGGATTTGGAAACAAAAATTCTTTCCATGGCAAGTAATATTTATTAAACAGGCTGATAGTGGTGTTTCTTTGTAAATTACTATTGCAGACTTTAGTAAGTGGTAGAAAAATCATATAGCTAATAAACTTTCTGGGGACAGTAGTTATATTCACCTAATATTTTGTGATGATCTAGCAAACAAGCATTGCCTGTTAGCATGCTTGTTGATAGCCCTATTCATGGAAAAGCAACTTTTGCATGTAAAACGTTTCACATAAAAATATTCAAAACTGTGCAGAATACTGAGAATATAAAATACAACAAAGTTAACTTGCAACGGTGATCTAGAGAGAAAAGTCAACAACAGTTTATTTAACATGACATCTGTGGGGAGAGCAGAAGAGCTGTCATCACTCTCTTATAGTTCCAAACCCAGGTTTCTAAATCCAAATTCTTCCAAATTTGACAAAAATGTTGATACAGCAATGTCTTTGTTTTACTGTTATGGTGCTGAACTCTTTGCTGAACTTTAAAATTTACATTTAAATGGTGTTTAACTTTTAATGAGTGCCATGCAGAATTTTATATATTCTTTATTTGGGGCTTTCAAGTTGTCGAATTGGAACCACTTTCAAATACAGCAGTGCTCAATTTGCTGGTAAACATGAAAGCAAAACAAATTTGTACTGTCTGTCTTATAATGATACCATGTCTTGGTGTTTTCATGTGTATGTATATGAGATAATAATCTTAGTGTATTCTTTTAAGCTTCTTGCATTTAATAGTATGCAATCTTAATGTATATTTAAATTTCCATGCCATGTAATAACTTGGAGCCTTTTCTGGGAAATATTCCTTTACTTTGCTGCATAATCTGCATGGTTAGAATCTTGGATTTTATTGCCAAAGGATACAATTACCACCCCATTGGGAGAAAATGCTTATAAACTTTATTTAAAATAAAAATGTAATGCAAATGTTAAATAATTAAGTTAAAGGATACTTGAAGTAGTGGATTTTGTAAAGTAGATATAGATTTTATGATTTTAATAGTAAATATTTTTATCCGTATCAATCAGTTTTATCTCTTACATTTAAAAGTTATTTAAGAAAAAAAAAGTTATTTTGTCATCTCCTTTGTGTTCGTGTCATTGCAGTATTATTGTGCTCCATCAGAAAGTTTCAGTACAGCAACCATATTGTCACGTGTTGGTTTTCCTCGTCCATGTCAGCCATCAAAGTGTGATTGTATTGTGAAAGTCTATTTGCTATACCAGGACAAATGAAAATTAATACTTTGCTTTCTACTGATAGTTGCCTATCCTGAATCCAGAAATGTGCGATGTTCCAGATCATCTGCCTGTGCAAAAGGACAAAACAGCAAACCTTCCAAAACTGCCTAAATCTGCACCAAACATTCAACTTCATCCACTGACCGTAGCTCCTGGCCAGACAATTCAGTTTTTATTGAAGTTGACCCTCCCTCCAGATTCAACACTGAATGAAGAAGCACCCAACGCCTGGTTTATCACAGCAGAAGGTAAAGTGCTTGTGTTGTTTTATCAGTTGAACAGAAGTAGATAAGAAACAAAGTAGATAATATCAGGATGTGTTTTCCGTGCAAGGGATCTCAGTCTGATGAACCAAAACGTCCCTCCCAGTCTGTTCCTGTACAACACTGTGATGTGGTAAATGTTGTTTAGTGTTGATACATTGAACAGCTGGAGTGGGAAGAATTAAAAATAAAAATAAATTAAAAAAAAGGAACTTGATAATTGTAGCTTCTTGCTTGAATTAATGCATGCTGCATTAATATTTTTTTTTTAAAACCTCCTTTAAACAAGTTGCTGGTGAGGGCTTGCAGAGGAACTGCTCCCAAAACAGCTGAGCTTTTTCCTCCTTAGATTTTTGCTCTCACCACTCTGTCTCCGTGAAAGGCTTAGCCCAGCCCTACTGTCTGCTTCTGGGAGAAAGGTTACTGTGAACCTGAAGCATATTCCAGAAAGATTCCCATTTTTCATTCTGTCTCTTCAAAAAATTATTTGAAGTAAATTTCTAGCTAACCACTTTGAACCTACTTTGTTGTAATTCATATATATATATATTTGCACTTGAATATTTCTATAACAAGGCATGCTTTCAAATATAGGAGGAAAAGTTTGGTATGTCAAGGCAGCAGAAATAATTGACATTTGTTGCAGGCCACTTTTGCTCTTCCTTTGTGGCCTTGGGCAATACTTACAGTCACTGCATGCCTTGGTTACTGTGAAATGGGAATAATATTTAATGTTTGAGCAGCGTCGAGAGGCTTAATTAATCTCTTTCAACTCTTAAGTATTTTAAAAGAACACATGGAACATGTTCACGTGGCATGTCACTGGAGTGCTTTAATTCTAGCCATCGTTGCCATCCTTACACTAGATATTGCTATGCACGAAGCATGACCAGTAGAATAAACTCTGTGAATGTGTTTCTTAAAATTCTTTTCAGTACAAAAATTGTAAGGTTATCTGAAACCCCTTCTTGCTCAGGGTGACCCTTAGCAAGTGTTTGGAGACAGTGCTTTCCAGTGTTCCAGCTGTGCTCAGAAGGGAGTATCTGTCAGAGCCCTTGGAAGTACCATTTGAAATGAATGTACCCTATGGAAGCTGATATACATAATAACCCCTATTTTTTTCACATTGTGTCAAAACAGTTTTGTCTGGTTATTCAGTTACTCAGGTATGATTCATTTGCTTTAAGTCTAGTATGCTCATGCTATAGGAATAATTTATTCATCTCTGGAATCAAGGCTTCTAAAAAGTATCTTGTACCTCACCTTGTGTGCCTAAGCAAGACTGTCATTGTGAACTTGCCTTTTGTGGGTGAAGGGAGGATGCTTTTCATTCAGACTCCGAGAAATTTCTGAACATCGTAAACACATTTGCTGTCAGACTTTATGCACCCTAAAAGTAGGTGATGCACAGAGAACTATCTATTACTTCTTAGAGGAACCAAATAAAATAAGCAATTATAGAGCAGAGGAAAGCTTTGCCAAACACCCAAAAAAAAACAAAACCAAAAACAAACAAACAAGCAAAAAAAAACTAGAATATAGTTTTATTTAGTTTTGTTTTCATGTGTTTGATGTTGAGATTTCACCGCTTGGACCTTCAATAGATTTTTAGGAGCAATGGACAAAACATTTTTATTTCAATTACTTTTGCTCATTTACTATACTGCATTGGAAAACATTCTTTTTTTTTTTTAAATGCTGCAGGATTCTAAAATTCTGAGTAATTGTTCTCAGCCTGAATTTACATGCCATATTGTCTTTTACAATAATAAATACATGTTAATAGTCATTACTGCTTGTAGATGCAGTTAAAATGATCTGAAGCTAAACATCTCATCTTCTGACTCATACTTTGTTGGCTAGCTTTCAAAGTGTCTATATATCCATGTGGTAGCTTAATTAAATGGGTTGTTTTTAAAAGCAATCAACAAATACTGTACAGGGCCTGCAATCTGGTTATACACTTCATGATTTAAGGCAGTTTCTTATTGTAGTTTATGCTTTCGGAGTACAAATAGACTATTTCCAGCACACTTTTTGACCTATAAAAATCTCTAAATATTGTTGAGGTGAAGATGCATGTCAGAGCTTCAAGGGTTAGTAAAACTGGAGAAGATAAGCAAATTAAACTCAACAAAACATTTCAAGCTCATAACTTCTAGAGCCAAATTTAAGGTATTTTCTTAAAAATGCCAGAAAGAGCACATCATCCATCTCATTTTAGAATAAACTACAGAGTGCAATGCAATGAAGTAGGTACATGCATTGTGCAGTTTATTTTGCAGTTCACGTACTCTTAAATATTTAAATAAATGTAAAACTCAAATTTTGTTATAATAGTCAGACTGAACATAGCTAAATTACAGCAACCTGTTTATAAAGCCAGCATTTCTGTTTGGAAATATGATAAAGTACCTGCAGTTCTGTGCATTTATGGCAGATGTCTTACCTAGAGTATTAGGCCTCTAATACAAACATATAACAACCAATTAACTTCAGGAGTTTTGCTTAAGTATCAGAAGAAATTTTAATATTCTCTTAAAAGTGTATAGGACAAATTACAGATTCATTGCATTTAGCTAAGGTATACTGTGGAGATATACCCACACTTGTGAAGCAAAGCTGTGGATTACCTTTAAATGACTACTGAAGAAGCACTTGTAAACTATTTTTCCTTTTTTTTTTTTTTCCCCAAGACTGAAAAAGTCAGAGGGGAAATTTCCCGTAATGTTCTGTATGGAAAAAAGGTCATATTGTCATATGAGCAAAATCAGTGTTTTCTATAGGTTTCAGACGTGGTATTAAATATCCTAATGATAAAATTTGTTGTTCTTTTGCAGATAATACATGGTTGCTTCAAGGACAGAATCTGTCTGGAAAAATTAAGGATGTTTCCTGTCAAACTGTCATTCCCTTTCAGTTACCAAGGAGCTGTCTATCAGCTGAAGCTGTCCTGGCTATCAAAGCGTGCCTCTACTATTGCAGCAAAGATAGCAGTGCCTGTTTGATGAAAGGAATCTCATTCAGTCAGCCTTTACAGATAGCAAGTGAAAACCAAGCCAGCTTGACTCAAGTTGAACTAACATACACATTTTTAACTAACTAACCCAAAGCCAGCTAATGTGGTGCTTTATTTTGCTTTCCACTGTAGGAGAAAATATGGATAGATAACTTTTCTCCATTGGCCATTTTCCTGGAGCTTATGACAAACCTAAGAAATAATATTCTTGGTAAAATGCAGTAGAATTCCTTACAGTTTAACATAAAAATTTATAATCACAACCTGATTTATTTTCATTACAGTAGAAACAATGATACTGTAATACTTCAGACTCCGTTGCCAGTTGTGAATACATTGGACGTACGCCATTCTAAGCAATGAGCAAAAATTTTTAACGTCCTTTTGAAAGAGTTAGTATTGCCTTGTGATTACACTGTAAGAAATTCTTTGCACTATATGTACTGTTAGAATAATCAGATCATTTCAGACTAACAGTTAGAGATTCCTTTTGTGCCCTTAAATTTTAATAGAATGTCAAACCTAATAGTTTCTTTCTCCAGGCTGTAAAAGGAGCATCTTGCTTATTTCTCTGTAGTGGCACTTTTGACACATGTATTTTGAAAATACATCTTAAACTAGGTGCAGCTCTAATGTTATGCAAACTGATTGTTTTGTTTAACTAGATATGACTGCCTTATATGAAGAGCACGGTTTCATGGAAAAATTTCTGTGAAAGGAAATGTTTGAGTTCCTACAAAAAAAAAAATCATGCTGATTTCTAACAAAGAATGTGCCTCTCTAATGTGTGCGTATATTTGTAAAGAAAAAGAAAATGCTGGAATCTTTCTGATATATACTGATTTACATTTTATGTAAGTGGTAGAAAATGGTTGATTATCTAAACTGCAAAAATTAAATGTCAACCATTTCAAGCAGGTGAATCACTTTCCTTTTCCACTTTTATGATTTCTTTGTAAAACCCAGTCTGAAGACTTCTGTCTTGGAAGCATACAATATTAAGAATGACGCTACACTCCTAATGTGTGATTCAAAGTCTTTTGAAGTTGCTGTTTGTCCACCCATTTGTTATGGTGGCCTCTGAATCAGAACCGTACATTTAATAATGGATGGTTGCATTTGTGTCTAGAGGTTCTGAGCTTTTGCTAGAAAACTGGTGATTCAGTCTTTGAGTGAAGTGCTTTGATTTGAAGCTGTATTCCCAAAACTCTGCCTTTGGTGGTTAAATGTTTTGTGAGTAAAATTTGATCAATTTGCCATAGGAAGTAGCAGGAGTATGGGAGGATGTGCAATTTTCTTATTGAATTGGAAGGATTTCCACAGTGCTTAAGTGTAATTGGATTAAGTCCAGTGCTCTGATTATGAGGATCAGTTCTGAGAAGGTGAACTTGTTTTAAATTTGAAGATGGTATTTTTACGTATAGTATGATGTATAGTAGTGAAAGAATTGTTATGGTGTCTTTTCTAAAGCAGTCACCATTGTTCCTGACACCTGTCAGTAAACTCCTGGTATGATTTGTTGTTGCTCATTCCTAATTGAAAACTGATTGAAATGTTGGTCATGAACTCCAGAGGCTTTTGTTTTAAGGGAACCATGTGGATTGGTGTGGTTTTTCCTTCTATTGAAATGCCAGCATATCTGTGAGTTCTCTACAGTACCAGAAATTGTAGTTATCTCACCTGTCAGCAAGGCAGGGACTGAACTATTATTTTCTTGTGTTTATTTTTTAAGCAACTTTTCTAATTCAGTGTTTCAGTTCCTTTGAGTAAACCTCTCAATCTCACATACCATTTTGAAGAAGGATAAAGCTTTGCTACTTTGTTCACAAATTGCAAATGCTGTTGAAAGGATGAAGGTAAAGAAACCGATTATAGGGCATTAATCACTTCTCACACTTTATTACAAATCTTTAAGAGTTTTTGTTGTTGTTTATTTAACTTTGGGTGGTAGCCAGGAAACCTTAGATAAGCTTCCAGCTAACTCACAATTTTTCTGTTGCTTACTGTAAAAAGAAAGCGTTAGTTTCAGAAGTTCAGAATAACAAATTAAATTCTTACAGTTATCTTGAGTATACAACTGACCAGATAAGTTTTTTTGTTGTTGTTGTTGTCTTTTTTTCCCACTCTCATTTCCAACTAAAATTATATTTGTCTGTTTTGATTGGACAAGACCATCAAATTCTACCTTGTATTTTGGCATACAGAAAAAAGTCGCAACAGATCTGTTATCTTAATGACACTTTTTAATTAAAGTATTGCTTTAATTAATGTAGGGAAAGGCCATGTATTCCTAACTTTGTTTAACTACAGTGTATAGTGTTTAAATATGGTGTAGTAGACATATACATACATTTATATCGAAAATATAAACAAATGTTTAAGGGTCATATCCTTTTTGTTTTCAAGATTCAACTTTCTATTTACTGTGTGTAAATGCATTCAGAACCACTGCAGCTTATTGGGAAGGTGTGATAGTAGATAGTAGGAAAACTGTTGCATAAGCATCAAGCTGAAGTCTGGGATCAGACTGTAAAGGACCTTTAAAGATTTAGTTGTAGCCGTATTTTAAGTAGTGAAAACAATTTCTGCTTTACTAGCAGGGAGTAGGAAAATGTTTTTGAACCTTTTTTTTTTTTTCTTTCTCTTAAGTCCATGTCTTGCAGCAGTTGACTGTATCCTGTATAAACTGAGGGGTGTATACTAACCAGGGGGTTTAATGGTGAACTTGGCAGAGCTAAGTTAAGGTTTGGAGCAGATGATCTTAGAGTTCTTTTCCAACCTAAATGATTCTGTGATTCTATTTCTAGAATCTGAACTTTAGCTTTACCCTAAAAAAGAGACAGAAGGTGTGAGACCATCTCAAAAACTTGACCTGAAAAAGGTGAATGTCCTGGAATGCTTTTCCCCCTGCATCCCATAAGTTCTAAACCATTCTATGCAATATCCCCTTCAGTTTACAAGGGAGAGCTTCTTTCCCTGACTTGTCTTAGCGGGTTTCACGCAAGGACACTGCTGTTATCATTCTCCATCTTCTGAGATGTAGCTGATTCTCAGCATGCTCCGGTTCTTCCTGATGATGTTACTGGGGTTCTTCTGATCCTCAGTCTGTGCATTCACTATGACTGGCGTTTATCACATAGCCTAACTTTTTTTGTCCAAGGAATAGCACACACATCACTGAGTCCCTCCTTATGTTTCACTTGTGGCGTACAGACATTTGAATGTTCTATAATTAGAATAACATGCTTTTTAAAGGCTTATGATGTTTACTTTTACTCTACAAAAGGGATGCTATTTCCATTGCTTTCTCCAGGGTTTAGAAGATGCTGTTACACTAAAGCAAGAAGTGCCATAAGTGTAACCAGACAGGCAAAAACAATAGCTTGTACAAGCTACAGAAGTTTCAGTTAAGTTACCAGAAACCATCTTCAAAATACAATTCAGAAAAATGGGAAATTTTACTACTGTCTCTAAATACTGATAAATTAGATGGCTGCTATCTATTTGTATGGTAATGTAGTTTATAGTGTTTCCTGATATAAAATAAAAATAAAAAATCAACTAAAAATTCCACTACCAGCATATTGGTATGGCTCAGCATTCCCAGATTTGTATCTTACAGTAACAGTATGTAATTCAAGGCCTTTTCAAATCATGCTTTCCCACTGACTTTAATAGGTTTTGCATCAGACCTATAAAGTCATAAATTACTGTAGCAAATCTCTAAAGAATATTGGTCATGCTTGCTTTGTATAATGGAAAGAAATTCAGAGGCATTTGCAGTTTTTAGTTCTAGTATTTGCTTTCCTGGAACAGCACTTTTTTTTTCTTTTTTTTTTTTTTGGTAAATTGTTTAGCCAGAGTAAAAGTGCATATGGCTTTCAGTATATTATATATATTCTTTACGCACTTTTTTATTCCAATGGGAAAATCTTGTAGTTCAAAGTAAAAGTATCTTTTGTGAGAGCATCAAGAAAAACTTGTTCCTTATCTCTTGCTTAGAGGAGGGAGATGATCAGAACAAAGTGACTTCCCTTCTTGTACAGGGGCATGTCCTTTTCCTCCTTTAATTATTGACTATTTACTCTAGCAAAGAGAGTTGCATTACTGACCACAGTTTCAAGTTCTCTTGAGTTTTTGATTCCTAACAAGGTTTGCTATGTACATGACAGCCTTAAATGTTTGACTTTGCAGAGTTATCAATGATATATCTAGTTTAAAATGGCTTACAGTTTAGCAGACAATAGCAAAGATTTACGCATTTCTTGAAAATTACTGTTCCTTCTTAACACTTACCTCAAAGACATATTGCAGCTAAATTTCCACAGAAGTGTGTATTCATAAACTGTGTTGCAAGTCAAAAGTAAGTTTTCTTCACTGTATGATGTGTGAGAGGTGCTGTAACAGGTTGTGTGTGTGTGTGTGTCCTCCAGGCTGTACTTCTTCTAACAGAAGAATTTACCATGTGTAGCAGTTTATTACTTACCCTTCCTGATGGTAACTGCACACTCAAATCTGCCAGCTCAGTTGTTTGTATAATCAGCTAAGATAACCAATTTAAGTTAGCAAAGAGGTAGTATTTAAAATTAATTATAATCATTTTCACTGAAAAAAGTTTGTCAGGGGTTACACGAGCTTCTCTGTCCCTCATCAGGAAGATATAAGAATAGTGAGAGTTAGTTGCAGACAGTCACTGCAAAAGTGAGACCTTTTGTTTTGTTTTTTAGTCGAACCATCACTTCTGGCTTCGCATTCTGCAGCAGATCATTAATTCAGAAATATTTCTAATAATATTTTACATTCTGTTGTGTTCATATAACCAAGCTTGACTGCTGTCTTCCATCAGACCCAGCTCTTCTGATAGTTTTGTAGATGTTGAACTGTTGTATGTAAAATCACTTTCTCTTGTTAAAGATTAGCTTTCATTCTTATTAAGGATTCAACACAACTATGACTTGAATTTCTGGGTTTATTTTGATTTTTGTCATGATATTGGAGGGGGTTTAGGGTGAAGAGAGGAGTTGGTCAGGTTTCTGTGTCTACTTTTTCCTCCTGTAGCTTCCCCAGGACTGAAATATGGCCAGTATCTTATTACCATAGATGGATCCAAGTAGGATAATTCCCTTGCCCCTCCCCTGCTTTAGGGCTGGGGTGTAAAAAGAAAGTGCAATAGGGCTCTTCCATTCAAGGACAATGTTACCTGGCAGCTCATTCCAAATGGGTGCAAATGAGGTGAGGGTTTCAAGCTGAGTTGCACAGCACTGATCCTCAGAATGCATAGACCTAGTGTGTACTGCCATTCTGGAGTTACCTGCTTTCTAGGTCTATCCCTCTTTATGGCCTGTAAAATTTTGCTCCATACAGAAGGTGAGAATTTAGCCCTTACTCTCACTGAAAAAAATATGTAATCAATTGATTATTTAGTGCTCTTTATTTTAAGATAACCTGCTAATAGTTACTGAAATCCAGGACCTGTCTAAACCCTTCCGTATAGTTCTAGGTAACATTAAAGTAAGATTATGTCCTCAAGTCAACTTCATCAAACTCTACAACGATGCAGCTACCATCATTTTTTATTTTTATTTTTTACCTTTATCTCTGGCCCTATTCAATGAAGTTCTGAATTTGTTTCTAGATCTCCTAAAGCATCTCAAACATGAGTAGCTTATGCATGGACTTTCTTGGCTCTTAGTTTCAGGAAACTGCAGATTAAATACTTAAGAATATTAGGTGATTTGAAAGATACCCCAGCTTGCTATCTTGTTGAAGATTGTGCGTAATTATTATCACAGGGTAACATACTTTTGATACAGCTGAAAGACTAAAACCTTGGATTTACGTTGAGTGTTTGTGCAGCTATAGTTACATGTTGTTTAGTGTACTGCCTTGTTGGTCCAATGCTTTCAAAGCATACGAGAGGACTTTTTGTCCAACTGCAGGCTCTAGGGATAAGAAAAAGAATTACAAGTGTTTTTCAAGCCTTGCTTAGTTCCTTTATAACGTTGATAATTTTGAGTTAAAGAAATCGCACTTGTAGAAATCTATTTATAAGTCTACCTTAACTTAATGCTCTGTACTTAACATGCCTCAGAAGAGCAATATTCCACAATATATTTTTCCCTTCTTGATGGAGTATTTAGAAACTCAACCCATCTGGACATTGTCAGACTTCATAGTAAGTGAGATAACTACTCCCAATTTGGTTTTATGTTTAAAATAAATAAATAAGAGCTAGTTCTTCAAGCTTTTGGTGAAGCTGAAATACCTGGTTTTGAACCATCCATTCAAGAAATGTGTGCTGAGAGTTGGCTATTTCAGATAACTTCCAGGTTTTAAAATTTTGGAATTGAGAGTTAGAGTGGTGGAACATAGCCAACACGGGTTCATGAGGGGAAAGTCCTGCTTAACTAATTTAATTTCCTTTTATAGCAAGGTTACTCATCTAGTTGACCAATGGAAGCCAGTAGGTGTAATTTTGGGGGGATTTTAGCAAAGCTTACAGTATTGTTTCTCTCCAATGTCCAGCATACAGCTTGGCAAGTACACAACACGATGGGTAAACAATTAGCTGACAGATCAGGCAGAGTTGTTGATTCCCTCAAGGGAAGAGAGGCCTGCAAGGAGAGAGCTCACAACAAATTAAAGGTCTGGGCAATCACCGAGTGAAGTTCGACAGGAGCAAGTGCTGGATTCTGCAGCTGGGAAGGGGCAATCCTGGGTATACAAACAGACTGGGGAATGAGAGGCTGGAGAGCAGCCCTGCAGAAAGGGATCTGGGGGTTCTGGTTGATGGCAAGCTGAATATGAGTCAATAGGAGTGTGCCCTGGCAGCCCAAAGAGCCAGCTGGGCATCAAGCACCACGCTGCTAGCTGGTCAACGGCAGGGATTGTCTCCCTCTGCTCTGTGCTGGTGCAGCCTTGCCTCAAGAACTCTGCATTTTGGGGCACAGCAGTGTAAAAAGGACATAGAACTGTTAGAGAGTGCCCAAAGGAGGTTTACAGAGATGGTGAAGGGCCTAGAGGGCAAGACGTGTGAGGAGCAGCTGAGGTCCCTGGGTTTGCTCAGCCCCGAGCAGAGCAGGCTGGGGGGAGGCCTCATGGTGGCCTGTAGCTCCCTCACGAGGGGAGCGTTGGGGCAGGCGCTGAGCTCTGCTCTCTGGGACAGCCTGCCGGAGTTCAAGAAGCATTTGGGCAACCTCTCAGACATTGGGTTTGATTTTGTGGTAGTCCTGTGTGGAGCCAGGAGTTGGACTCGATGATCCTTGTGGGTCCCTTCCAACCTGGGATGTTCTATGATTCCGTAACAGAAATGCTAAATGTTTTATATCTTCAGTATTTAACTTCAAAAATATCCAGTCTTGCTTTTAAAAGAAAATTAGTGCACTTAAAGCTTTCTCTTATGTAAATCATTGTACTGTTAAATTATGATGGATTTGTGTGATTGTATATAGATATTAATAAGGAAAAATAAGGTAATTGAAAAACTGCAACTACGTGAAATTCAGGCTCTCCAAGGTTACCAGCAAGTATCTTTAGTAGTTCAGTCCAATGCAACAGAAATTCTGCATTTTCATTACATCATGATGACTGAAGGAAGAAATCAGTGCCTTGAATAAAAATACTTGAAAGTGTGTCTTTGTAGAAAAGCTGGAGTGTTGATTGAAATAAGGTATTTATTTGACCTTCATGACTTGTGAGTTTTGTGTTTTTTAAAATTCTGTACTAATTCAGAAGCTGTAAAGTTTTTTTCACTGTTATGTTGTAGAATTAAGTTGAAATTAAAGTGCTTTTTATTCAAGCTACTCTTCCTATGAAGTACTTTTACTTTCAAGAGGCTTTTTCTCTGTCTTGCAAACATACCTCTTATGTACACTTAAAAACAAACCTAGCAGGATGATTTCAAATGTCTTGCAGAAGCTGGGATGCAAGTGAGACAGAGGTTAAAACTTTAATTTAGAAGGGCGAGGATGATTCTTCTTGACATTTGAGGGACAGGGACTTGGTCTGCTTTTGTTGTTGTTGTTTTCATTTGTTTCTTCTATTCTATGAGCAAAGATTATTTAAATGGCAGAGAGCTGTGTGGAGAGGGAGCTATGAAGGGTCTGGTTCTCACTGTGATGAAACCATATAACTTCATTTAGGTTCTGCTGTTGGGATGCTTTAAAATCCCTGCAGTATAGCACTAGTGAAGAAAGTCACAGTTGAGCACTTAACACCTTAGTATGTGGCTTGTATTGTTTAGATGGAAAGATGGGGAATTTTTTTTTTTCTTCCTTGAGTACTACAGTGTTGCTTTAAGGACATGGGAATATTTTTGTCTGCTCTTTGAGATACTAAACCTCTTTTTTTTTTCCATTGCATATGATGCAAAGCCTTTCAAATATCTGAACATTTAAAAGATATGTTTTATATTTGTTACTACAAAGTATGGGAAGAATTAGAACTGAAAGCACATCATCTGCAGCTGATGTAGATTGTGGAGATTCTTCATACACAGCATCACCTAACAGAGTTCTTAACAATATTCATGGGTTATGATCCTTTTTAAGTAAAAGGTAAATGTCCTGTAATATTATGAGAACAAATAAATACGCTGTGGAAGAAATGCTAGCTTCAGATTTCAATTCAACAAATAAACAGTGATTGAAGAATGTATTTTCTCCCCTATGAAGCCTATTTCTCCTTGTAAAGCTTTTTCATGGAAAAATAAACATTAAAAATTTTATCTTTTCTTTCAAAGCTTGGCTTGTCTGTCAATCTTTACATCAACATAGATGTGGAAGTAATGAAATGTGTGTGCCATAAGGCATTACAAGTTGATTAAAATCTTGTACACAACAAGTACAATTTGTTTCATGCTCCCTTTCCTTCATGGCTCTGCAGCCATGGGTGCCAACTGACCATTCACGGACCTGAGGTTTGGTAAAACAGTGTGCAGTCATGAAGACTCTCCAGCTTCAGGTTTACCCAGTGATCTGGACACAAGAGACCTGTTTTTATTCCATTTGTGCACATAAGAGAGATGAAAAATGTTGTGCTGGATGAGTCACAGACTGTTTGCAGACTTGTCGTTTTTTTTTTCAGAGATGCTAAGAACTAGCTTAGCTACTGGAACAGGTCTTGCTGCATTGAGGTCTGCTGTGGAGCACTGTTAGCCATAGTAGCCTGTAAACTGCCACAGTTTGCACTGTGTGGGTGCTTATAGACACAGCTATTCTCCTGCTTGACGTTGCATGGCCCCTGGAAAGATGGGAGTTGCTGTAAGCGAATGCTTGGTTTGACTTCACCCAGACGTTAATGTGAGGAATGAGGGAGTAAAACCTTCCCCCATTTCTTCCTCACTTGCCTAGAGAGGTGAACGTTTTGTTCTGTTGACAATAACTATCATAGTAAAAATCTTTAATTGTAATAATTATGGTTGAACCATACTCTAACAACAGCTTGTGCCGAATATAATTGTTTTATTATAATTATTTCGCTTGGATAACAGTTTTACAGCTTTGACTAAGAACATATGGATACAGACTACTAATACAGGCTTCTTGTGCAGTGATACAACTGAGGAGCAATACCAGCATACCTACAAATATGATCTCATGCTTTGCATCATGTTCTCAACAATACAATAATTAATTGTTAATGAAAGTATTGTATGCAAAAAAATCTGGCTTGTTTACTGCAATAGCTGAGCCCTAGTAGTGTAGCTAAGTTGGTTTTTCCCCCCTTGTTAAATAATATTGCTAATTTCTATTATTGCCTATAAAACTCAACTAATTTTCTTTGATTTTCCATCCAGATGAAATATATTCACTGTAGCCTGATGCATGAAGTCTGAATTTGACAAACATTCAAGCAAATTTATTTGCATTTCTATATTTTCATAGAAAGTGCATATAAAACTCCTGCCAAACCTAACTCAGCTTAGGCAGTGTGTGATATCTCAGCATCTTAGTGAGCATTTGCTTTGGATGATAAAGCTGAAAGTTCACTTATTTTCAGTCATCTCATCTGAAATGATAACTTCACCCCCAATTTTTAATCCAAGTATTAATTTAAATAATAATAATAATAAACATGTATGTATAAACCTATAGTTTCTTGCATGGTAGTAAGTGCCATTGTGTCCAACAACATATTTGACTGAGCTGGATTTGTGCATTTTGCCAGAACTGAGGAAGGCACTGCCCCTTTCCGTGGCCTCAGAGTGGCTGCTCTAAGAAGCAATTACTTACATTCTTCCTAAAGGCAGGGGAAGGGAGCCTTTCATATGAAATTTAACGATGGGGCCAAAATATTTTCTTGTTATTGCAAGGGATTCTGCAGTCTCCTGCCAAGAAGAACTTACCCAGAGATGGGATAGATGAGGCTTTAAAAGGCTTCTCTCCCTTCCTTGTCCTTCCAATCTACGGAGTCTGGTTTCCTGTGGGTGTTCAAAATCACGACCCTGCTTCCTCATCTGAATTTTTTCCTTTCCACCTGTCACCTTGGTATTTTGTGCATGCAGTCCTAACAGAAATTGAAACCAGTATTTGACGGCAATTTTGCATGCTGCTGTATGTAGCAAAATTTTACCTTAGCTGAAATTGGGCTTTCTAGAGCTGGTTTGGTTGCCTTTGCCCTCTTCCTTAAGCACCGATGTGAAAGCAGAGGCAAGGATTTTAGACTTGAAGTGTAAAAGAGTAGCTTTCTAAGATACTGCTACAGCAATGCATATTGTTTCTTTCTTTTCTGGAAAAGCATTAGCATGCTGCAACCCTCAGTTAAATCTCTATATTTGTCCAATGCCAGGCATTCCCTTAAGCAGAACGTGTGGGCTTATCAATGCTCAGAGAGCCTACCAACAGGCTGTAAATAATGGATATGCTTTCCAAAAGCTAAACGAAACTGCAACATTAAGGAGTAGTTAGATATTAATGAAGAGGTTGCTTCAGTAAAACCAAGTATTTAGTCAAAATTACCCCCATGTTTTTTATTTGTGTGTAAATTCCTACTGTGGAACTGCAACATCGTTTTTGATCTTTGAAGTTAAAGTTTGCAATCATTGTCAGTGAGAACTGAGAAGTTGTTCTAACATGATCTCTAAATACTAATGAGAAGGCAGTACATCAGTTTTAATGTCTTCTTTATGCAGCCGGGTTTGGAAAGCACATCGCTTCCCTAGCACAGGTCTGAGCCCTTCATCTGAGATGACAGCAGATAAGCCTGCTGTGTTTCATGCAAAGTACAGTCCAGTCTAACAGGGGAAGTAGTAGTTAAATCAAGTGGAAGTAGCAGTTAAGTCAAGGCCTCTGCACTTTCCCTCCCTCTCCTTATGCACGCTAACAGGCTAATGACTAAAGTTATAATGTTTTACAGGTTATCTGGGTTTAACACTAAAATACAGAGATTGTTAAGAATGAGAGATGTAGCTGTTTTCCCGAACCTTGATCCATTAAGCAAATGGAATCACACAAGAGAGTACAAAATTGAAATGTGCCAAACAGTGCGTAGGAGCATCGATTTCTAAATGGCAGCTAAATCCAAGGGAAATTTGCTGGGGGCTACTGAGAAACCCATCATTTAAATTTTTCTCTCCTTTATGCAGTTGAGTGAGGAAGACTGGATTTAATTAGCATTTTTGCTGTGCTCTTAGCAGTGTAAGTGCTATAAAATGCTGTTGTTATTGCAGACTTGAATCAAAGGAAGCATATGAGGCAGAACTTGGTAGACTACGTGGAAGGTGCAGAGGATATGCTGGGACATTCAGAGATGGAATCCCTAGTAAAGAGTGACAAAATTTGCCTCTTGGAATTGCAAAATGAAACACCTACTGAATCATAACAGGAGTAGTCATGAAATTAAACTTAGCAGGGGGTTAACATTTTTTATTTACTTGAGGCTGCTGAACAAAGCAATTCTCTTTACAGTAGGTTTAAATTACAAAAGGTGCATAAAATACAGGTAAAATCACTGAGAAGTCAAGAAGAAAGATGAATGCTGATTGTGTTTTTCCTTTCCTTTCCTTTCCTTTCCTTTCCTTTCCTTTCCTTTCCTTTCCTTTCCTTTCCTTTCCTTTCCTTTCCTTTCCTTTCCTTTCCTTTCCTTTCCTTTCCTTTCCTTTCCTTTCCTTTCCTTTCCTTTCCTTTCCTTTCCTTTCCTTTCCTTTTTTGTTGTTATTTGTTTTTCTAGAGAGATGTATAATCATCTTTTTCTAATACGCATAAAACCCATTGATTTAAAAAATAAAGATTCTGAAACATTAGTGGCTGGAGTCTCAGCACCTTTGTGACCCACTTCTGGTCTGTGTAAGTATGTTCCCTCTCATGAGGATAGTTTTCATAGATGCTCAGGATAGGGTCTCTCCTCCTTTCATACACTATGGTAGTCTGATTGCTGTTGTGCCATCTGCGACTCTGCATGTCACAGTTTTGGCCCTGACAGTAGGATGGACTACATTATTATAGACACCTGACAACAGGTATGCATTTGTTTGCAGAGAATGGTCTAGCTCAGATGAACTGGTCACAGCACTTTTTTTCCAACTTCTAATATGCAGAAAGCCTGTGGAGCATCTTGTTACAGCAACAAGAAAAAAAAAAAAAAAAAAAATGGTTCTTTTAGATTTAATCAGTGTTGAAGCTTCACACAATCTTGAAAGAAATTTGTATATATGATAAAATATATATATATATGTTGCTAGCCTAGGCAACTTTTATATTTTAAGCTGAAAAGCGTTTACAGTGAACTGAATAAATTTTCAAGAAAAAATTGTCAGTGTTATTCTGAGGCAATTCTGACCTTTCCACTTAACAATATGTTTTGGGAACTACCATAAGCCATCCACTGTCCTATCCGTATTTTTTTTGTCAACCAAGAAAATTAGTGAGGGAAATTCACTAGGCTAATGTTCCTGGATGGCACTCTGATGGTACATTTCAGCATTGATATCTACTAATATTGCCTCAAAATAGGAAGAGATTCAGTAGCAAGTTTAACTCAGCGATATAAAATGTGAAGGCCAACTCCTTTGAATAAATCCGTCATTCCCTTTAGGAACACATTTGTCCCAAACACCTTCCTTGCTTCAGAGGGGTCACTACAGCTCTGGCCTAAACTAGTACTTAGGGGCAGGAGGATGGCAGTACCTCAAAGCACGAGGTCTTGGTGGATGTGCACCACACCAGTGCCTCTGACCTGTCAGCTAAACCTTTCTTTCCCCTCATGTCTGCTGTCAGCCTGCAATGTCACTTCAGCTGTCCCATTCAGGAGGAGGCAGGCGTTTCATGTGGGTCAGAAACTGGACTGTCTCTGGCTGGGCAGTAGATCTTATATACACGTATTTCTCCCAGACAGCAAATAGATGCATTTTTTTACCATATTGCTCCACTCATCTCTAATCTCTGCTGAGTTTCTTAATGACCATCACTTGACCCTTTTCACTTTACCTTCATTTCTCTAAAGTCCCAGTGACTACCCACTTGTAGCTCTTTTCACTCACAAAAGAAAAGTCATTTATTTTCTCTTATACTGGAAGAAAATGTTCCTAACCTGTACATCCCTTTCCCTTTTCTTTTTACACTCGTAAAATGTGCTATTAACAAGATCTCCTGCTTCCTGTGCTTCGCTTCTGTATTAGATCCCCACTAATTTGGCTGTGTCCCCATGCTGACCACTGAAATTGCTCTCAGCACAGTTTCTAATGATCTATTGCTAGCCAAATCTCTTCTGTCTTCTTGACCTGCCAACATATTGCCTTCAACATACACAACCTGTGTTTTATTTCTGAAATCTCCGTTTCTATTTGCTCCTGTATGTCACTTTATTCAGGCTCTCTGCCTGCTGTGGAAACTGCTCCTTCATCATGTCCTTGGCCAAACACTGCTCATCGCCCCAGCCTCCAGCTCTCGGTGGGAAGCCCCCTTTATTCTTCCCACATGTTTGCGTAATGCCTAATGCAGTGGAGCATTTTTCTGAGAAGGACTCCTAGACACTCTGGTAATATAAATGATGATAAAACTTGGTAGGGCAGGTTCATTTCCCTAGCAGTGTTTATTCTTAGGAAAACAGCTTTAAAAATAGATGCAGGAGCCAGAATAATAAATGACTTCTATGAAATTTGCAGCTCTGCTTCCATCATGCCAGTGGCTTGCTCATGCCTGTTTGTTCACATACAGATCTCCCATTGCTTTTCCTCCTGAAGCCTCAGTAATTGAGAAGCAAACAAATTCATAAACCTTCGTGACCTGGGAGGATTAAGTCCTTAGTCCAGGAATTCCAGAAGGGCCTGTGGAGTTCAGCTGAGCTACTGAACATTTCGGCTGATCGTCTCTCCAGGTTCAAGCCCTAAAGGGTCCAAGATTTTATCAGGCTTTTTATATGGACGTTTGATCACATGCTGAAAAAATGTTGGAGTTGGCCAGAGATGCAGCAGTCCTCACAATATTTATTGTTTTTTTTTGTTTTGTTTTGTTTTATTTGTACTGGTTACTAAAGAGATGATTGATTGGAATGAATGAAAAACAAAACAGCACTGAACGTAGTGTTTGACCTTACGCTGTGGTACATCTGTTCTCCAAAATACAACAGATCCTACACAGGTGAGTGAAGGCCTTTCCATTGCAGGTCATTGCAAAGCTGCTCAGTTCTTACCAGTGGTCCCTAGATTTTGGTTCAGACTGCTCAGCAGGGAACAACCCCATCACACCAACCAGCTCCTGCATATTGAGTTCATGATAGATAAATGCAGTAGTGTATACGGCATGAGACAAGGTTGCTGCTGCAGTTACTGCCAGACAGTACCCATCAAACTACTTGTCGTGGCTCTCTGTGTATAATTGACATACAAGTGGGAATCATCATTTGTGGTTCTTTCTTTGTCTCCTTCTCTCATCTGGGGAAGAAATGGTTTGGCAAGACCATGTTTGGTGTGCCTGTAGGAGGTGAGGTGATAAGTAGTTCCCACAGAAGTTCACTTTATTACTTTGAACAAGACACAGAGATGTCTCCTGAACTGCTGGCTGTTACCCTTATAATAGAAATCTGAGTGACTGAGCAGTGATTCTTTCTCATCATCTGACTTTTTTTTTGTTGTTGTTTGGCACTGACCATCCAGAAGGTTGTGAACAATTTCATGGATTTTACTTGATACTTTGAGCAGAAGGATTCAATTTCCTCTGTCACAATTCTTCTGTATAAACTGTTGTATCCACAGTTCTCCACTCTCAGCATCAGAAGCCACTTCCCATCGCTCCTGTTTCCTGCGGGGCTCACATCCTACTGCTGTCCTGCAGAGAGACAGGGGATGGAGCAGACTCAGCTCCCTCTGCCAGGGGGAGGCTTTTGGCTGTTTGCACTGTCAGTCATTTCTTCTGAGGGAAGACAGCAGTCCAAGTCCCGCTGATGCCAGTTGGATGGCACTCTTCTGTGGAAAGCCAGTCCCGGTAGAAGAGGGAGACATGTAATGAGCTCTCATTTACTCACTGGGACCTGTCCTGTGACTTTGCTGTAGTTCTTCAAACAGCGATGAGTTCATCTTCAATATTGCACGGCTACAGTCTAGGCAAGAGGTAATGAAAGGCATTTCTAACACACCAGCATGCAGCCAGCACCGAAATCTCTGAATCAAAAGGAGAAGGCAGGAGGCATGGCCCTGGGATGGTGTTGCGTGAGACCTCGGTGTCTGTAAGGAATCCAGGAGGGCTCCAGGTGCAAGGTAAACCCAGACAGACAGTCAGGAAGCCTTTTTTCTGGAGGAACTTCTGCAATCATGCATAAATCTGTTAGCCTGGCCTGGTTTATTTTTACCTTTAATCCTGAAGAATTCCTGTCTGATGTTCTAACCCTGTTGTCTCATGTTTTATTAGAACCAATTTACAGAGCCTCATTCCAGTATGCGTGGGATCCTGAGCTTAGCTTTTCCCTAAAAGCTGCCTTTTTAACTCTTTCACACCTTCCCCAAATTGCTTCTTCTTTTAAGACATTACAGTATCTGAGGAAAATACTGGGAAGAAAAATATGCTATTTTTCTTAGAAATATGAAAAATATGATATTAGAAAAATATGATATTTTTCTAAGAAAAATATGCTATTTTTCTTAGCCATAAAGATACTTGAAATGTAAAGCAGCTAGTATGTAACATTAGCATTAGGAAATAGACATCTCTGACCCATACATTCATCAAAAGTTTTAAGATGTTACTTTAGGAATTTTTTCCACCTCAGATTTGCTAACTTTGGTTTATTTATTTTACAGTCTCTTGGGGGTCTTTTCCAAATTTTATGATTCTATGAAATCTTCTAAGATTAAAAAACAAAACAAAACAAAAACACAGCAAACAAACAAACAAACAAAACACTATAGCTAATGCAACTAATATTTTCTCAAGAATGTAAGGATGAATAACCAAAATTGTCAGACAAAAACAGCATGAGAGAGGTCTTCTCTGTTATGGCAATGGGAGCTGAGAGTACTTGCTTCTCTGTGATTATAGATCGGTTTCCTAATCCCCTACATCAAAATTAAGCACTGGTTTTGCTGGTACTGGCTTACTAATGTCTGAGGCAAACTCTTCTGCTTATTTTATCCTTAAATTAAAAAAATCTGTGCCAAACTGACAATTCTAATGGCATTTTAATTTCTCAGTAAGGAGGACATAAGCAAAGTATTTGAGCAAGATGTTTCAGATGAGCACGGGAAGCAAGAGCCCAGCCTACCTCACCGGCCTGTCACCCGCTCCCTGTCCCCTGCCACAGACACTGTAGATGAATCTGAATTCATTCCCAAAATGACTATAGTCTGCACCTGCACTGGGAGATTTGTTTGTTTTGGATGGCTTTGATCCTCGTAGGGTCTACTTGTTTTCAATTTTTTTTCAGCAAACACGTACATGCTTCATTGTCCAGGAGCACTGCTGCTGACAGCAAAGAGCTTGTTCACCCTAGTAGAGGTCTGCTCATACATAAATACACAGCTGCAGAGGCACACACTAATTTTTTCATGTGCTTAGCACAGTGGGGCTTTAGCCCTACCTTGGGACAGCTGAGTGCTGCTTTAATAGAAAGAAATGATGAAAATTACAGATGATTTCTTAGCTGCTCATTATGCCTTTAAAAAAAATCCTACACTCTGACTTATTCAAAAACCCTGCCTGCAGACCACCTCCTCTCCAGGAGGACTGACAAAGTGTTACAAGCAGGCCTGTCTGATGACAGATATGTGATTATATTTAAATAGCCCTGCCATAAAAAGCATTTCCTAGGTTGTTCTTTTTCTTTGCCTGGTGTTTGAAAGGTTGCATTGCATTTTGTATGTTCTTAATGAAAACTATCTGCTGTGTGAAAAGGGAGTTAAGAGCACTGAATTAAGCCTGTAGTCACCACTTACCATACAAAATAAATACGTAAAAATGTAATATATATATATATATATAATGTATGTCTATGGGAGTTTCTCATGGAGGCAAAAAATGCCCCAGCCAGTTCAAAGTCTGGATGAATTAGAATCCCACTTCCAAAGAAAGGCTCACGTTGTTGATCTCCGGTGTCCTGCTGTTTGAACTCATCAGCCTCAGAGCTGATAAGAGCATGTTATTATGCAAACTATCAAAGTTTGTTTACACAACTTCTTAAAACAGATTCTTTCAATGGTGTGGCCAGGTGGTTAATATCTATTGTCAAATTGTTTGTGCGTGCCAGTTCAGTAGTTAACATTCTCCATCCTGTAAGCAAGATACTGTTCACTGTACAATGTTCTGTCATCCTAAATCTGAGGGGCTAACGCTCACTCTCATCTTTAATCTCCTGGAATCCTTCTTTTCCTTTAATTTTGAAATTTATAAGCACTTCCACAGAGCACATCCTTCAATAAACATAATAAAAAAAATAAAATAACCTAAACAGCATTAAGTTGAGAATTAAGTATCAGGCAGGAATCTGGTAATGCAGTGCTAGTCTACCATAAAGTCTTTTATCTTTGCAAGTCCTGGAGCACTCTAGTTTTCTAGTTTTCAGGTGGCCTCTCTGTTCTAAATATTTTTAAGTGTCTTAAATGATACCTCAGTTTTGGGACACCCGACTTAATGTTCCCTCAAATGGATCAAATTTTCATAAGATGTCTGTTTAATGTTTCCTGAATAGCGGGCTGTTTTTCTTCTGGTATCTATAAGCAGAAGCAACAAAGATCACTCATCATTTTTTAAGCGTAGAACACATTTTTAATATATTCAATTTAACTGCAAACTCCTTATAACATCTGTGAAACATTAGGTTTTCTCCTATGTTTAAAAGGCTTTGCTTCTGCGTGGGATATAAATCACAGAATAAAATGTATCAGGAAAAATGGGAAACGGAGATACCAACTTATATACAAAGGAAATAGTGGAAGATTTATTATCAGTGATTTTCTTAAATCTGCTTGAACATAGCACTGCCAACATTTTCCAGGATAGATATGGCTGCAGGTTTTCACTTCCATAGATCAGCAATTTGTAGTGGATCCCTGGAGAGCTCAGATTAATGAGAAGTGACAGTAATGAAACCACTTCCAGAGAGCTCCAAACTGCCAGGGGCTGTTGGAGCTCACATCCCAAAGGAGAGCCCTGGTGTCACTCCTGAGGCAGTGGAGGTGACAGTGGGACCTTCTGTGCATGTTGACAGCATCAGCATCACAGGGATCCAGGTCTCGCTCCTGGCTCTCAAAAGGGAGCTTTAACTTTGAGCCTTTGCCACATCAGGTCAACTGTTTAAGTGTGGATATAGTAAAATGCCCAACTTTAGATTTGTGGCTGTTAACACATTACAAACTCCCATTATATTTATATTCCGTTACATTAGCTTTACAGTTGCATTAACTTTTCATGGGCTACATTCACCTCAACATGCTGTAATGTAGATGTCTGAGAGTATTTTCATCATCAGACCCAAAGTCTTTTTGTTTTATGTTCAAATTCCTAGCGCTTCAGATCTTTGGAAACGGGACTACAGGCAGAATAACTAAAGTATTTGGAAAAAGTTTAAACTTTCCTGTATCTTGAGCCAAGTTAGAGCAACTTAAGATGGTCATTTGGACATTTGTGGCCTGTCACGAGCAAGGTTATATGAAGAGCCTATCTTCACTGAAAGCTACAGTAACTTAGATTATTTTGCAATTGCTGTGGACTAGAAGTCCACACAGCTTCAAGGTGGCAGCAAAGTTACCTGTATGCTATGGAAAACTCTGGCCACAGACTCACTGAGAAATTTTAAGCAAATTGTCTTATCTTTTTTACAAAAACAGAGAACAAAAAGTGCTAGAAGAATATCACTTCTAAGACCCTTGCACAATGTAGATACTTAACAAATACTTCCACAGCCTCAGAATCTAAAACTGATTTTCATTTCCCTGTCTATTTTGACATTACTTCCTCTGACAACGATGAGTGCCTCAAAACTGCATATCGCTTTCTATCTAAAGCGCGACCTTTTGTGTGTATTTTTCTTTCCTTAATAAGTAACACTGCTAAAATTATGCAATGGGTAAGAAGCAAAATGAATCATCCGGCAGTGAAAAACTTATTTTGAAACTGTAGAAAAATATATATTTGGGCATGTGGTTCTGGAATTGATTAAATCACCACATTTGCAGATCTTTAGACCTTACCTCACCATAAAGTTGATTCAAAATTTTGAGAGGAAAAACACAAACTAAATTTGCAGAAGAGCATATAGCAGATATGCAACAATGGGCATGAAAAGGAAAGACAAGATTTCTCATAGGAAATGAGAAATTTCTTGTGGTGTTGAGGACTGAAGCACTCTTAGTACATTGCAGGTTTCATTCATATAGACTACATTTTCAGCTGGGTTACGTCTACCAAAACTAAGTTCATTCATCTGAGAAACCAGAACTTTTGTTGGCTGGAAGACTTCCAGATAGGAAGCAAACAAGCATTGCATACCTTACACCTATTTAAGATCTATTATTAGTGGCCTCAATCTATTCTCAGCAGCCATGTGGCCACCCTCCAAGAAAATGCCATCATCGCTAACATATTTAGACTGACTTTGTAGAAAGGTAAAATACTGAGAAAAACATGAAACAGAAGTGTCTTTGAGTGAGTCCTTCCAGAACTAACTAGAAGCACCATTCTGAAGAGATGGTATCAGGCCATTTTTACGCAGTGCTTTTCATTTGCAGGTGTGGTTAATCTTGAATAGCTGCTGCCAGGTACTGGGCCTGTTCTGTGGATACGAGGACTATACTTCTCTATCCCAAACCAGAAAGAATGTGCAGAAAGCAAAGATACACAAAATAATCCAGCCAACATGTTCAGGACTTTATTTATGTTGGGAAGGTGAGAGACAGAGCAGACTTTCTAGACTATTTCGGTAATTAAAATGATTTAACAACGTGGCTAGGCAACACAGCGTACGGACCTTAGGCTGTTCTGCCAGCTCATTGAAGTTGTCAACTGCAGCATCGCTTTCTGTGTGGTTACTAGATGTTCCTGGGGTTGAGCACTTCGGTCATGCTGCAGGATTCTAAAATGTTTCAGTTGGTTTTGCATTTGCCATTAAAAAAAAAAAAAAGTATTAGGTATTTGCCCATGGAGAACATGATCGGATGACCACCTGTACTTGCCTTTGTGGTCTATTCTTGAAGTTGGACCTAGGAGGCAATGCTATGCCAGTGCTATCTGCATTATCGATTGCAAAGAGAAGCCCTCAGGACCTGGACGGTTCTGCAGCTCATGATAACTCAGGCATGCCATTTGTAGCTGAAAAAGTTGACTTCCACTACTTGGAATGAGCGGGTAACAACCTGGGATTCTAATTTTTGTTTGAGACACGTTACACAATGAATGATATTTTTCCAATCTACTGCAGAGTAGAACAGGAATTTTTTTGTCCATATGCTAAGTGTCTCTTCAACTCTTGGGGTATGGAAAGTGAGGAATGACACTAATACTGGCAATTAGGAGTGAAGCATTCAAGCTGAAGTTTCAACAGAGCTGAATGAGAGAAGGATCTGTGGAAGTAGGTTTTCAACAAACAATTAATATAACAGTGTTAGGTTAAATGCTAGGCATGTGCTTAAAATCAAATTCTAAGAACTACTTAGATGATTTCTTCCAAGTCCTGCACCTCACTTTGGGGACCTATAATCCCTGAACCGCAGGAATGTCAAACCCTGTAACAGCAGATACCTACCCCTGTAAATTATTGAGAATATCTAAAGGGGAGAGAGAGAGAAAAAACTTCTCTAAGACTTCTCTATACAATTGTAGAAAACACCAATGAAAGACAAAGAAGGGGACACTCTTCTCTCCTTGTTGACTGTACAGGAAAGTTAAATGCTTACAAAGGCCTTGTGTCAGGAAAGTAAATTCCCTTTCTTCACTTGGCCATGAGCAGCAGTGAAGACTTCTCACCATTCATTTGTCTACTTGAGTTTATAGAGCATGAATGTGTTTTGCTGAGAGGACAGGCATGTAACTGAGCAAAGGCTCATCTTTATCCAGCCAGGACTCCCCCCAATAAGCCCTGTGGTGGAACAAGAGTGCTCAAGATCATCGAACTGTAAAATAATTTAGGTTGGAAAAGACCTCTAAGATCATCTGGTCCAACCTTTAGCCTAGCACTGCCCAGTCCACTATTATGCCATGTCCTTAAGCACCACATCTACACGCTTTTTGAAGAGCTCTGGGGATGGTAACTCAAACACTTCCCTGGGCAGCCTGTTACAATACTTCACAGCCCCTTCAGTGAATATATATATATATTTTTTTTTTTTTTCTAATATTCAACCTAAACATCCCTTGGTACAACTTAAGGCCATTTCCCTTTGTCTTATCACTAAGATGGGATGTTGGGCTTCCCCTGCTGTCCTAGAAGGAAGGGAGGAACTAGCACCTCTGTGCCTTAGCCCTTCCAACACATATGTGTGCCTGTAGAAATTTCAGCAAAGGTGGAGATGGTGTTAAAGTTTTTCTGGGGTTGGGTGTTGTGGGGTTGGGTGTTGCAAGCAATCCGAATTGCTCTCCAAGACTAGACTTAGACACCACCTGAGTAAGCAGACTGAATTTCACTCTTAACTGTGTGCTCTCATTTCACTGTTGTCCAAAGACCATTTTGAGCTTTTAAATCCTTGCCTTTAGAATATTTTCTTTTGATAACATACATGATTTAATAGCCTTTTAAAAAATAATAAGAAAGAAAACAAGAAAATTAAGAGCCCAAGTTCTGCACAGTAAGGTCAAATACTCAATTCCTTCTCCAAGCTGAGCTCATCATGCTTGGAAAACTCAGGACATAGCAGCATTGGTCCAGCTTTTCTTTAAAGTGTTTTAACCTGATGTCCAAAACAAAGCAGTAAATTAGATGAACCTGTCAGCTGAAATTCAATGTCCTTAGCTGAAACTTGGCATGTAGCTTTGCCAGCTCAGTTATAGATTTTTTTTTGATGACTATTTGGCTTATTATTTCTCTCTGCCTTTTTTTTTTAATTCCTCCTTCTTTTTTTCTGCTTTAAAATGTACTTTCCATTACAATAGTTGAGTACAGCAAAACACCACCTTACTTACATCTTTAATGTAACCATTTTACTTAAATATTCTACACACCAGAGCCATTTTTTATTAAACCTACAGATTTCTTTCTTGCTTGCTGTCATTGGAACATGCTTTTAAACATAGATTGTTTTGTTTCTGAGGTGCATAGAAATGAATTTAATGTGGAAATTCACTTTGCTAAAACGAGGCTAAACAAAGCATTAATAAAGGTACAAAAGCATATGAGCCTGAGCAATGCAGGGACACATAGTTCATTTCCATTGCTCAGTTCTGTAATTCTAGGACCTGTGAAATTAGTTTTTCCAGGTAGATCTTAGTTTAAACACTGAATAACAGTGTATTTTGAAAATTTAATTTTTAATCACTGCACACTTTAAGGGTTACTTCACATGAAAGTTAATAGTGCGTTGTTTAGATTTACCAAGGAAAATTTTATATAGTCAGTTTGTTCCCTTTCCTTTCTCATCTGGACCTTGTAGTGATGATATCAGCCCTTTAAAAAAGCTATTCTCTGCCTGCTTGTAACCTTTGAAATATTATATCCTTACTTTACTTGCAGGTCATTACCATCTTGAGAGGGGCCTAAGCTGCCCTGGAGAAGACAGCTTGAATTGTCAACCTATTCTCCATCCCCAGTTGATTGAGAGCAATGCAGATTGCCAGGAATTGTCAGAGGTGCTTAGAAATTTTAAAATTATTGCCTTTTTTCTGGATCCTAGAGTTGCTGTCTTGTTGCTAGCAATTCTAAGGAAGCCACAGTTCTCCAGCACAGAGAATGATATTTATCCTCTTTTCTTGAATTTACCATGATTTCTTCCCAAACATCTTTCAATATGAGTAAAAGAAGCAGAAACAAACAAAACCACCTAAACTGAGAAGCTTACTGGGAGTTAAAATAAGCTCAGGTAGCTTTCTAAATAAGGAGAAACTGAGCTGAAAAAAGATAGCTTTATTAAATTTTGCTTTAAGGCTTGACCTTAAGTTCTACAGGTCATATGAATACCAGCAAGATTTCCATAGATGTTTTATGTATGTGTCCTGTTGCTGACTTCCTTGTGTTCCTAATAAACCCCGTAGAGAATGCCATCAAACTCTTTCAAATGGTTACAAAGGAAGTTTGAATCTCCCAGCATCATGCATTTGAAAACTTTCCTGCAAATGATATTAATTTATAGACATAGTTTTATCTATACTCCTTTACAAAGTGAATCAGAACACTGTCCAATCCTTTCATACTTACAGTCATTTCTTAGTTAAAGTGGAATCTCAGTCTTATGACAGTGAGAATCCAGAGTAGATCCACTAAACAAAATGGGATTATTAGAAGTTTGTGCACAAAGAATATGAATCACCGTAATGATGATGTGCATATATCTTAGTTTAAATACAGGTCTATCTTTCGTACCTATTTAAATAGCCCTTCAAACATCGATGTATCAAACTTGATATGTGCATGGGTATGGCTGTCTCAGAACGACATGCCTCAGGTACCTGATGTACAGAGAGAGAAAATAATTTGCTTTCAAAGAGAAAGAATCTAACAGAATTCAGAGTTTTATTCTGAATTCTCAGCCCATGCTATTATTGTAACAGCTTCTTTTTTCCTGAAGCATGGAACAGAAGAAATATAACCTAATGCAGATTTTATCTTCTGTAGAGGAGCTATGAAATAGCATATCCACAAAATCCCTGTCCTTTGTGCAGTGGGAGTGACTCATTGGCAGTGTCAAGGGTTGTTTGCTCTTCTGATCTGCTCATTTACGGAGCTGCATCTAGAAGCCCGCTTGTTTATGCAGAATTCCTTCTCTATGTTTATTCTTTTCTCTTAAGAAGAATGTTTTCTCCCCCTTGCTCTTCACTGCCGGGAGCTGGTACATGCCAGGGGCTGGCTGCGAGGTTGTACCCAGCTCCTGGTGGTGGCCCAGCACTCACCAAGGCTGCAGCAAGAACAGGCAGATGGTCCGTGTAGGTGGGATGTTAAAGTGGCTTTTGAGAATATCAACATTTATTAGGACTAATATCAACTTCTGTTTTGGAAGTGGGACGAACTCACTCCTCATGTTTTCAATTTTAAAGCCGTCTGTATCTTTCCAGAGTTAGCTCATGTTTCCCTGGAAGAGCATCCAGCACCTGCCCATGCCGGGCTCCTCACCCCTTCGTCTGTGTGCAGGTGGATGGCAGGCTCATCAAAAGGAGCAGACCTTCTCTTGCTGTCCTTGAACAACACATAGACACAGAAGCTTAATTTTTTGTTTTTGCCATGAGACATTTTCTATGTAAATTAAAGAGTTAAGGATGGAATGACCTGACTCCATCTTTTTGCTCTATCGGTCTTCCTAACAGGAAGTATGAATCCCCACGAGGAAACGGCTACCTTCATGGTGTTTGTAGACGGTGATTATTCTAGATCAATTTTGATGAGTAAGATGCATCTCTAATTACCACAGCAAAACAGATGCACTAGCAACAAGCAGAGCTTGAAAGGAGGAAGGGGAGCACCCTCTCTCCTCTTCAGACCAACTAAAATTGGTTAAATTGTTTTTATTTTATCACAGATCAGCCTAAACATTAGAAGCACAAATACTCATATGGTCTTTCTCCCTTCTTTCCATTAAAAGTCTGGGCTAGCTATTACATGCTATTTCTATTCTGGCTATATTTCCTCAGAGTTTTTAGTCGGAAACCTCATGCAGCACCAAGTTAATTTATTTCTCTGTTCACAGCTTCTTTGTTGTATATTTTCCTTGTCTGGTTATTCTAAAGTTTGAAAACAAGAAATCAACTTCCCATTATACCTCATCGTTCCCAGCTGGCAGAGTGTAAAAGATGAGATGTCAAATCACAAGTAATGTACAGAGGTTTAAAAGGGGAACATTTTGAGCTACATCTTAGTGTCTCACATCTGAAAACTAATGATAAGGATGTTTATTTTCATGTAAGCTGACCAATGCTTCTTAGAGCATTTGGGAGCCCAGAGCACTGTCATTTTCTTTGTGTTGAGAATCCTCTAGGCAGTTTTTAACAGTTTATACAAAAACCCATGTCTTACTGATTTTTACTTTTTTTGTAAGACAGTGCATGTCTTTTATATACGTCTCTTCATAACTGCTACCTACCACTGTTCTACAACTTTAGTATTGAAGAAACCTGAAATGAAAAGCTGATGTTTATGTTCAACATTATAATTAGAAGATGGGTAAAGTTAAGTGCCTGATATTCCAGAGACTCCATCCTTTTCCTTTTTTTTTTTTTTTTTCTTTTCTATTCTTTCCATGGTTACAGAAACTTTCAGGTGAACAGAACTATCTAAAGCAAATTAGCTTAATGATGGTGCCAGCAGTATGTACCCCATGCCCTGAGCTGTCCTACCAATCACCCTCTTCTCTGCCACATTGAATTATAACATACATACTATATAAAACATGGGATATTACAGGTCCATTTTGTTATGTTGTAGAGGGATGTCTGGGGAACCAAAGGGGGTATCTGTGAGCAACAGAAGGAAATATTTGGAAAACTAGTTCAATTGTTTCTTCCTAATGATCCGTGGGTCCCTAAGACTTGGTAGAATATCATGTGAGGCTCTTTGAAAGTATTAAGCCTAATGTTGGCCAGCTTCAATTTGCCATAAACAGATCTGTGCATCCATTGGAAAACACTTTACAAATGGACAAATAGGAAAAAAAAAAGATGTGAAATAATGATTTTTTTTTTCTTTTCTCCACTACATATTTGATTTCATTTTATTTAGCTTTACATTGGAAAGCCTTCCACTAAAAATATTTGTATAAGCTTTGACATAGTTTTCAACATTCCTGATTGACCCCAAGGAAACTCCAGAACATTTTTAAATGTATGCTCACAAATCAAATCTGTTCTTGAAACCTCTTTTGCTGCATCCTTCTGAATCAATGTAGCATAGAGTTTTTGACTTTTTTAAGGGATAACAGAAGGACACATTTGATTTATTCATTACTGGTGAAGCAAGAGCTACTCTGAAAAAAAAATAAATAAAAAATAAATAAAACACAAATGTTAATGTTTATTTGGATGAATCCTAAGCTGAAGTGAACTGAGAAAACTGATCAGAAGTCAGTACTCACAAGGGAAATCTAAGTCATACACTCTACTGTCAGATTTGAGGAGCCTGACGTACAGGATGAAGGTGCATGTTGATACCATCATTTTAGAAACATTAAAACCAAGGTATAAAGAATTTGTAGGTTTTCCCCACAGAATTTAAAAGTGACAGTCAGAAACAGAGACCAGGAGTCTCTTTTTATAAGCTCACAGTACTTTCTGTTGTAAGAGTTGGACTGTTGAGGTTGGGCTTGTAAGCCCAGTTTTGCTAACCTTTTGCCTCTGTGAGTTTACAAGTGGGCTTGCGGAGCTTTCTAACATGAAACTTCTTAGGAAAGAAAACCGTGGTGTTTGTATTGCATTATGCAGTTAGTCCCAGACTCCTTCATCCTCAGACAGCACAGTCCATACTTGCAAAAATTCAGATTTAGATAAATTTGTCTGGGTAACAAAATAACATGAGGATTAGGAATTGCCTATAAAATGTGAGCTTTGGTAATAAACCACAATGTGTGGGAGTTCTGCTCTAAGGCAGCAGTGTGTCTTGAGGCAAGCAGACTCAGTGAATAAAACCTTCCCAGCATGGTATTAAAATCAACTTCTTACTAATTTTGGCTTGGCTTCACATGCCTGCACTAGATGAGAGTACATTCATTTTCAATAGGCAGGGAGGCCGTTTCAGTAGTAATGGAAATGACGATACATTAGAGGACTTTGAGAAAGCAGAGGCAGAGAGCACAGGTCTGGGAGTTCGTTTGCATTTGAGCTGCTCTCCAGGAGTCCATCTGAGATGCTGCTGCCCTCTTCTTGCTCCAGGTTTCGTGCTCAGCAGAGGTAGGAAATACAGATGCCCTGGAATGTCTTGTGACAGCCTCCCCAAGAAAGAAACTGAAGTTCATGGAAATTAGTAGAAAAGACCAATACAGCTCCCTCATCTTCTTGGACAAAGGCTTTCATGTTTCTGAGCCTCATCCATCTGCTATCAATAAGGGCATTCCAGATAATGTGATTTTAAAGAGAAAAAAGATCTAAACGATTTGCTTTGGTATGCCAGAAACGGGCCTAATTATCAGGAGATTTGCTGGATATGTCTGTAAACCATTACAAGCTGAGCTAAACCCTTTTGAAAAGCTGTGTCTTATTCCCCTTTACTCTTCCTTACATCTAAGCCCCCTGACAAGCCATACATACTTTGTTAGTTAGCCCAGAGCTCTGCGATCTCCTGTTCTGATTTTGTTTTGAGGAAGGCAGCGCAGACACACAGGGTGTCCCAGGAGGCCAACCTCTTCACACCTCCTTCCCCAGGAATAACACCGCAGCCAATTACAGCAGCCCCAAAACCTGAGCAAAGAAAATCGTGGTAAAGAAGCGAGATCTCAAAATATCTGTTGTCTTTCATCAAGGGATTCAGGGAAGAGTGGAGGTGAGGGGGCGCGTGGAAGAGGATGCACACCCGCTGTCTGCTCTGTGGGCGATGACGAGCATTAGCAGGAGCGCTGGCACATGACGGTGCAATTCGACCTGACGGTTTGTTCCAGCGGCTGTGGAAGTTGACGCCTATCATGTTCCCTCTGTGCTTTCCCTTAAAATGGAGTTTAAACTTCTGTTTGGCAATTTGTATTCACAGTGTGTGCCTGTCGGATTGAAGTGATGCTTCCCTACCAACCTTCTTCTGGTGACTCAATCAGTTTCCAAAGAGTTTAATTTAAGTAATTGTTCACATCCTTTTGTGTTGTAAAGAAAACCTGAGCACTAGTGGAGGAGCTTCTTTCTCCCCAAGCTCTTAGCTAAGCAGAAACACCGGAGTGAGCACTTGATATGACATTTCTCAAGTTCTGCCAGGAAGAAACAAAGTTTGAGAAGCATGAACTGTCCCACGCCGTCTCAGTTGGGCATTGATTAAAAAGCCTGAATAAAACTCATCTTTGCACACCTGTGGTGCTGGCCATCAACTTGTGGGACCTCCTGCTCCCATGCGGTCTCTTTAGAGTGGAGACCTGCGTTATCAAAGCTGAAGAGCTCAGGCTCCTGGTCCCTCACAAATACATGTCCACAAAAGGGACTCTGTGTTCCCATTCTGCTCACTCATACCACCATTACCTGAAATGTCTGGGTTTTGATTCACTGCATAGGACAAAATCTGATTACCACCTGTGTTTTCTTTACTGTTTTGTCTGACACCTTTTGTATAACCAGCAAGAACATTTCTACAGCACTAGGGTGTAAGAAAGTGACGCTCAAGCTCAACCTCATGTAAGAAATCAACCTGAATTTTGAAAGGTAGTTTCTTCACTGCCTCTACTGCTGCCTATCTCCCACTCTTTGCTCTTTTCTTCTGGAATTCGTGGTGCTACTCACCGGCCTGACCTGCCTCCCACGGGCTCCCTCTGTGTGGGGACACTGCCAGGAGCCTTCCAGCGAGCTCGAGGCTCAGCAAAGTCTCTGGCCTGACTGCCTCAGCTGGAAATGCTTTCTGTGGGTTCAGCCTTGTATCTGTGATTTAATGCCGTGCTAATATTAAACATCTAACGTAATGCAATGTTGATCTAAACCAGGGAATAACCTAGGAATAGGTATGTGAAAAACTATGTTGTTGTTTTATTTTTTTTTTTCCATTTTCAAGCTGGAGACAGGATGTAAAGTAAGACTGGGAACAGTTTGTCTCCAGGGTCCCAGCAGGAACTTAGAAACTAGAGACAGAGGTCTCCTTTTCACAGCCTTTTGGTAGAGTATTTCGTGAAACAGCAGGGACAGCAGCTGCTCTCAACCTGCTTGCTCTTTACCACGTATTCAAAGGGAGCTGGAAATGACTGTCTATACCACCCATTGCACTTCTCAGGGGCCACAAGATACCATTGTTGATTTAATACAAAACCTTGCATTTCTACTGCTAAATAGAAATATAGGGCATAAAGAAGACACTGTATTCCATAAGACAGCATGGCAGAACAGACTAATGTCAGAAATCAAGTCAGAATGAACCAGTGACCATTTCCCCATTTATATCCTTATGTTTCAAAGAGCTTCTCAGATCAGAAAAGGCAGGTTTTGCCTTATTTTCTCCTTCATTACAGAAAGCAAGTTGCAAAATAAATCAATAAAAGTATTCAGAAATCAAGATCCACTTGAGATACTATCTTAAAATCTAAGATTGCTTCTGCGTTAGTTTGCATACATTGAGCTGAGTTTAAATTCCAGGTTCTTGTTAAGGCTTCTAGAGAAAATTGTGGGACTTCACAAGCCTTGGCACTCGTGTACTCCCAAATTGCTTGAGTTTGACAAATGACAGAAGTGGGACCCACTCACGGCTTTGAGTCTGCTTTTACCTTAGCCACCAGCCAAAGTTCGTGCCGCTTGGTGGTCTCGTTCAGACCTGTCTGTGATCCAAACAGTGAAAACGAGCACATTCCTCTCAGGAAAGAAGACATCAATTAAATGAAACTCCTTTGGTTTCTGCTGGAGAAAGGCACACGCTCAAGAAACCGCAAACCGTTCAACTCACTGTGATCTTATTTCTTTACAGAAAAACATTTCTTTACAGAAAAACATTTTAGAACCAGCTACTTTCCTACAATGATGGACATTGGCCATACTTAATTTTTCATTTTTAAATGTGAGCTACTAATTATAGACCCATCCCAGATTTCCTGGTCTGAACTTAGTGCTCTCATTAAAATATGGCGTGCGTGACCAGCCAGCTTTTATGGCACAGCCAGGCTGGTTGGCTCCGGAGGATTGCCCCATGCCCTGCTCCTCTCCACTGCCTTGAACTGTTTTGGGATCTAGCTCCAAGCTGTGCTGTAGACCACACCTGGGACTGGGTGTTGATCTAGGGTCAAATTATGGGGCTGGCCACAGGACCCAGAACATAGAAATAAGCATCCTCCAGCTTTTATGCTAAGCTGGCCAGATCGGGCATTCTTACTGACTGAACAACACTGTCAGTAATTTGAATCCTAATCAGGTAGAAACCTAATCGAAGCGCCTGATGGATGTGGACTGGAAGCAAACTGATTTGGCAAAAAACAACCTGTCAAGCCCAAATCAGTTTACCATTATCTTCAATGGTAACGCTAAAAAATAAAGCTGCTGGTTTTCTAAACCCTACTGCATCATTGTCTATTAGGTGTTTGGGGAAGCAGGTAAGTGTTCTCACACACAGACACACAATATTTGTGGTGCCCTCAATTAAAAACCTATAAAATGCTATATGAAGCTGATATTAAAACCACCATTCTCCTGACACTCTCCAGAGGTACTTTCATGTTGTTTTAGAATTGTTTTTACATTGTTGAATAAAACTGAAATGTCATGTATTCTACACATGAGTTGATTTCTCCTATATTTATATTAAATACAAATACACTGATTTGCCAAGTAAGCTGTTGTGTCTACTCATCTGTGTTGTGTTTGTCATCTGCATGAGAAGTTACCCAGGCAAACTATAGATATCCAGTCTGCAAAGGAAAGACTGACAGAGCTGTGCACCTTTTCTGCTTCATGATGGGTAGAAAGATATTGTTTTCATAGATAGTGTCATGTTGTGGTCTTTTAGCTATTGGGTAATTGGAATGAGAATGCGAAACCACCCTGTTATACAATAAAACCAAAGCAATGGTTCACTTTTCAAAAATGGTATCAAACCCACAGTGAATGAAAAGGATATTTGAAATTCCATTTAAAATCAGTAAATATATTTTCCAAATCCCCAGAAAAGGTAAGTAAAAATTACTGAGTTGATCACTTTCTGCATAAAGCCCTCAGGACAGTCATACTCCACAACATGGCACAACCAGGATTGGTGTCAGTACCTAAGCTGGCAGGGCAGAAAAGCTCCGTGAGACCGGGACAGCCTTCTAATAGTCATAAGAGCTGGTATAGCTTAGGAGATGTTGTTGATCAACACTTAGTTTGTGGGGAGAAAAGAGCCCTGGTATACACAGCATTTTCAGAGGGAACACTTCCCACTGCTGCTCTTCTGTGTGCTCCAGCTGCCAGTGACATGCTGAGCATCATCTTTCCAAGCCTTTTTACCTTGGTCTCCTCAAACAAAAAGATCTAAGAGTGGCAAGGGCATATTTTTAAAGTAGTCGGTGAAAAGGCTTATTGCTGCCGTCTGTCTCTGCTCAACCTTTGCATAGCTTAACCTTCACCCATGTTCTGCACGTATTTCTGACGTCCTTTACTCTGCTGGAAAAAGCAGAGGTTTGTCACTCAGCCTACCCCAGCTCTAAAAAAATAGTCAGAGGAAGGTGACTTAATTCTGGACAAAATAAAGCAGGAATGTTTCAGGGGAAAAAACAAACATTTCATTCTAGGGTCAAGCCTCAGTGCTTCATTCACATTTAAGCTCTACTTTTTTTGAAGAATTTAGTTCATTTAATGTTCTTCTTTAGAAGTTTAGTTTTAAGTACAATTTTAGAAAAAAGAAATGCCTTTCTAAAATGTGAAATTTCATTTAGAAAACATTTAAAAAAAAGAAATTTTTGACTGTTTCCAAGAAGAAATTTTCCTTTTAAGAAGCTGTCAAAGGAAAATCTGTTAACATTTAGAAAAAAATCCCTGATCAGCTTTTTTTAGCCATAAGGTACAACTGAATTGAGCTCAGCTTCACAGTCCCCTAAAAGTCATCTCATCCAGAAATAGTTGCCAACTACCTGATTCCTCAATCACCTTCTTCTCAAGTTTTCCATCTATCTTGTTTGATACTTTTCCCAACTTTAAGCCAAAAGCAAAGGCAGGCCGTAGCACAAGGTGCATGCTGTTTCTTTTCCTTTCTCCCCTCATAAGCCTTTGCAAGCAGTGCACATGCAGACCTGGAGCAAGGACCTGCCATTGCCTAGCATGTCTCTTTGCTACCAGGGCTCAGATGTGCAAATTCGGCGGCTCACACCCCCAGCGGGCTGTAGGGTGAGGAAGGAAATTGGTTGGCACCAATTAGTGGAAGAGTGTTGCATTAGGCATCATGGAGACACAAACCCCTTGCTATCAGACCGAGCTAGGCACAGTGGTCGGCTCAGGCTTCACTCATCTGTTGTAACTGCCTGCCGTGGGGGAGTGCTTACAGGAGGGGAACAGGGCAGTACCATGGCAAAATGTTCTCTGATGATCTGCAATGCTGCTCCTTTCCTCTGATGAACAATAGTTGAGTTAAAAAAAAACAAGGTATTTTTTATTTTTAACTAGCAAAAAAAAACAAACTCAAAATGCAGAGAAAATTGCTCATGCTGATCCCCAGTGCAATCAGTGCCTTGCTATGGGGGCTGTGTGGACACACACAGTACAATTTCAGTATATTTCTCATTAAGAAACAGCTAGATACATGAGGTTGGCTTGAAATGCAAATTAAGTTTGTGTGATTCACAGACATTAGCGACAGTTTTCTCTCAGCTCGACCTAAGTCTTTCCACTTGCTCAACTGAGCTGATTTTACCACAAAGACACTCAAAGTGAGCTACTGTCACCTGAAAACTTCAGAGCTAAATAATGGCTTTCCAGATACATGGTTCATGAAAGGAAAAAAGAGAGAAAGAGAGATTTTAGAGGAAGATACAGGACCTAATAGTGACTTGGATTTATATCTGAATCTAGTATCACTACAGAGCCCACTGTTTGTCCACTTCTTTTCCTTCTGTTTGGCACATGTAAATGCTAAGAACCCCAAGACGTAAGTGCTAGTTTAGAAGTAAGCGTGGTACCCACACTTACAGTGGATTCTGATCTTGACTCCATCTAGCAATGACCAAACTGGTCAGGGTGCATCTGAGATGTAAAGGAGGAAAGGTAAGAGAAAAAAGATTGTGCATTTAAGAATGGTGAAGTACAAGAAAATACATAGGGAGCTGATTTTTAGCTTTGTTAAAGCAACCAGAAAAGACAGCATTCAGCCAGGAACATGAGAACGTCAAAGGGCCACATGACGATCAGGAAAAGCAAGCCCATTGCTCCATGCTCTTATTCTGAGCAGCGCCCAAAAAAACATGTTCTCCAAGATGTTTACCCACAAGAACTAAAATATGTTATTTAACAAACTGATCAGCTGTTGGACAAACATACAAGATAGGACCGAGAAATAAAAGAATGAAGGGAGAGGTTGCAAAGAGGAGACCAATTTTTCCACAACACCTGGTTGTGTCACCCAGGTCACAGCACATTCAGTCACTTGCTATTTACTTTGCTAGAGGTAGAAGAGCAATCTCATTCCTGCTTTTGTTTGAAGTTGCTAAGTTATGAAACCACAAGTTCCACAGCAGACACGCAGATGAGTCGGCTTTGCTATGGCCTCAAAAGAGCCATGTAATGGTCATGAGGAACAGCAACTCCACGATGGCCTTTCCAGAAAACGTAAAGGAAAATGAAAGGTACAGCTACGCACTGCTGACATAGACAAGGCAGCACAGTTAACAGAATTTCCATCTGTAGGTGTATTTGTGCAGAGCAATTCAGATCATGGGAGCATGGAGACTTTGGAGATCCTTGAATGGAGACATCTGTGAAGCCCAAGTCACAAAGCAGCCTTTTCACAGTTCTTGGAATTTTCTGTCACATAAATGTTGATTCAAAGTGAATTACTTTTCATAATAGCCCACAGGAAGAAAAAGGAGAAGGGTACATCATATATTTTAAAACCACTAGAAATGTCAGATAGATGTTTTATTATTTTCCTGGAAATTTCTGGAGAAACTCAGGAGTTATTTTTCATCTACGGATGTAGTTCCCCGTCTACGAGGGAGCCAGGTGCTGCTTCCTTCAGAAACAGCCCAAAGAAAAAGCATGAATTGTTTGTCTTTTTAGAAGATTATTACCACCAAACAATCATATATTTTTAAAATATATTACAATTTAATAATTTTAATAGTAATGTGCCTTTGCACCTTAATAGAATATTCTTTGCAGAAACCTTGCTGTTCCAGTACCTGGAGCAATAGTAAACATCTAAATTGGTACCCTTGTTTCACATTTACACTATCCATAGATCTGGCATGCACAGTGCTCTTCGCAGGCAATAAAAACTAAAATTCAGAAAAAGCAACAGCAACAACAACAAAAACACAAACGGAAACATCTGATGGTTCTGGGAAGACCTGAACATGCATTACATAAGTTGTTTTCTCTAGATCTTTTTCAGTCTCCCCATTTTTTTATTTTTTTTTTTGAATGGCTGAAGAGTTTTATCATGTAAGAAAGTTTCCTGATTATCTACTCAACATGTTATCGCCCTCCTTCAGAATGTTATTAGAGATGGATGGTTCACTTTTACAGTTCACTGGCATTTATTGCTCCTGCTGAGAGATTTCTGACAGCCTCACAATAATATAAGACCTGTGTGGAAGTTCAGCTAACATAAGACACAGCAATAGCAACTTTTAGCTGAGAAGAGCTTAACAAAGCCACAGTTTTTCATGTTTCAGAGCAATTGAACTTTCTATGACAAACTGCAGTTAGAGCTTTATCTAAAGCTGTGAGCAAGGCACCTTTCTGGCAAGTCCTGCTGTAAACACTCAAGTAATTCATTGATGCTATTCTTGTCTCTTGGTGTGAGTCACCAGGCATATTGGTCATACCTCTGCACATGGACAAAGGCAGAGGAGACAGAATACTGAATAACGTGTGTGTTTAAATTTAGTAAAATATTTTACTTCAGCCTGTTAGTCAGACTGGCTCCTTTGTTTTGACAGCAATGCCAGGAGGTATGTCCAATCTTTTGTAGCCCACTTCACAGGTGCAAAACAAGTGGCCACACCTGCCAGTGCAGCCAGTATGACTTTATATTCAACATCAATTAATTTAGACATCTAAGGAAGCACCTCATCTGCACCCATGGAGAACACAGACATGGTTGTTATCTGCCTTTTCTGGTCTGTGGAAGATACAACATCCTAAATATTGTGCCTTCATGTGCAACAGGTATGAAAGACACCCATCCTTTTCACAGTAGCTGAACTGTAATTGCTCTTCAGCCCCTTCAGATTTTCTCCTGTTTGAAATTAAAAAAAAAAATACTCAATCTCTTGTATATTCATTGTCTCAGAAAGATGTATGCCTCTACACTAAACTCATAAATGCTTGGTTGCCTGAACCTTTATAAACATTGTCCTTTTGCCCACTGCAAAAGTGATTACTTCATTTGCTCAAGATATGTAACTAAAATAAACAAGATATACACTGAGATTGTTCTGATTTTGGCTGGACTCTCAGTATGCAGGATCCCTTTTACTCTGAGAAATGTACGATATTCTTTGCTGTTTGCAGAACTGGTGATAACTTACTCCACAGAGGACAGAAGGCTTACGTTGAACTCTATTTCAAAACATAGCTTAATCTTGGGGCACTATCTCAAATGGTCTCTCTTTCAGCTGAGGTTCAAGTTCACGTCCCTTT